AGACTCCGTACTTTTCATTTGTCCACATTAAATTTCATCTGCCATTTTTCAGACCATTCGAAAAATTTGTTTAGATCTTCCTGTAGTTTTGCTGAGTCCTCGTTAGATTTAATAACACGTCCTATTTTAGTGTCATCAGCAAATTTACTTATGTTGCTGTCTATGCCCATATCTAAGTCGTTTATTTAGATGTATATAATAAATAATAATGGTCCACGTACTGAGCTTTGGGGTAATCCACTAGTGAGATTACCCCAATCGGATTTCGTGCCGTTAATGCTTACTCGCTGTTTCCTGTCCTGTAACCACGCCCTAATCCATTTTAGAATATCTCCTCCAATGCCATGATCCTCCAATTTTCGTATTACTCTTTCGTGGGGGGGACTGTCTAAGCCTTTGCTAAAGTCTGGGTAAACCACATCATAATCGTGCCCGTCGTCCACTGATTCGAAAACAGCTGGAAAGAATGTTAATCGATTGGTCAGACATGAACGCCCAACTTGTGAAACCATGTTGGAAATCAATGATCAACTTGAGATTCTCCTGGTGATTTCGAATAGAGTTTGAAATTATTGCTTCCAGCAATTTGCTTGCAACTGACGTTAAACTGATTGGACGGTAGTTAGAGGATGGTAGTCTATCTCCCTTCTTGAAAATCGGTATCCTCCAGGATTTTGGTACTACACCCGTTTTTAATGACATGTTAAACAAGTTTGCTAAGGGCATGCTAAGCTCTTCCTTACATTCCTTTATTACTTTGGCAAATATCTCGTCTGGAACTGGTGACTTATTAGGCTTTAGCTTGTTTATTTGCTTACTAACATCGTTACTAGTCACTACTCGCTTTATCTTCTTTCTTCACTATGTATATAGTCGGTGCCTCGGGTATCATGTTTAAATTTTCGGTGGTGAAAACTGTTGAAAAATATCTGTTCAGATTATTGCTCATTTCTCCATCGTTATCCGTTAGCTCTCCGGTATCTGACTGCATTGGTCCAATCTTGTCTCGTGGTTTAGTTTAATACATCTGAAGGAATCCCTTGGGGTTTGACTTCGCCTCCCTTGCTACCTTCAGTTCTTTATTCCATTAAAGTCCCAGATTTCAGAAGGGCAAACTTTGATAGTTTAAAGAGGCAGCTGGGAGAGGGGGTGTCACGCTTGGATATGAACCTGACAGATGACACCGACCTGATAACGAAATCTGAGATTGCCGAGTTCCACGACAATTTAAATAACAAGTTACTTAATGCACAAAGGCAGAACATACCATACAAAAAACTCAGATCAGACAACAATGACCCTAAATGGATAAATAATTATTTAAAGAACATTATTGGCCAAAGGAAGGCTATAGGTAGAAGGATAAATCGTGGCGAATTATACCTCCGGGAGTATTATAAGGTATTGGCCGGTAGGGTTAAGACCGAGATAAGAAAAGCCAAGAGGAACTATGAACTGAAGGTAGCAGGAGAGGCGAAAACAAACCCCAAAGGATTCTACCAAATGTATCAAACTAAAACACGAGATAAGATTGGACCAATACGCTCAGATACCGGCGAGCTAACTGATAACGACGGAGAAATGAGCAATAATTTGAATAAATATTTTTCAACAGTTTTCATCACCGAAAATTTAAACATGATACCCGAGGCACCGACTCTATTCAGAGATAGTGAAGAAAACAAATTAAGCGAGATAGTAGTGACTAGTAGCGATGTTAATAAGCAAATAGACAAACTGAAACCTAATAAGTCACCTGGTCCCGATGAGATATTTGTCAGAGTATTAAAGGAAGGTAAGGATGAGCTCAGCATGCCCTTAGCAAAGTTGTTTAACATGTCATTAAAAACAGGTGCAGGTGTCGTACCCGAATCCTGGAGGATAGCGAATGTAATACCGATTTTCAAGAAGGGGGATAGATCACTATCCTCTAACTACCGCCCACGCAGCCTAACATCAATAGTAGGCAAATTACTAGAATCAATTATTTCAAACTCTATTGGAAACCACCTGGAGAAGCACAAGTTGATCAATGATTCCCAACATGGCTTCACAAGCGGGCGTTCATGCCTAACTAATCTATTAACATTCTTTTCATCAGTTTTCTAATCGGTGGAGGAGGGGCACAATTATGATGTGGTATATCTCGACTTTAGCAAAGCCTTCGAAAGAGTCCCCCACGAAAGGCTAATTAGAAAGGTAGAAGCGCATGGCATCAAAGGTAATATCCTTAAATGGATTAGGGCGTGGTTACGGGACAGGAAACGGAGAATGAGCATAAACGGCACTGAATCGCATTGGAGCAACGTCACTAGTGGAGTTCCCCAAGGCTCAATAGTTTTACCATTATTATTTATTATATACATAAACGACATAGATATCGGCATAGACAGCAACATAAGTAAATATGCTGATGACACTAAAATAGGACGTGTAATTAAATCTGACGAGGACTCTGCAAAACTACAGGAAGATGTAAACAAATTTTTCGAATGGTCGGAAAAATGGCAGATGAAATTCAATGTGGACAAATGTAAAGTACTCAGTATAGGAGATGTAAACAGGGAAACCAGTTACCAGATGAACAATGATGCCATTGTGGAATCCGACTGCGAGAGAGATTTAGGAGTAATGATAAGTAGGAATCTTAAGCCAAGTAAACAATGTGTTTTTGCTAGTAACAAGGCTAATAAAGTACTTGGGTTCATATAAAGTAGTGTTAGTTACAAGACTAGCGAGGTCATCTTAAAATTATATCTAGCGCTTGCGAGACCTCACCTGGATTACGCAGTTCAGTTCTTGTCACCGTATTAGAGAATGGATATAGAATCATTGGAAAGAATCCAGAGGAGAATGACAAGACTAATCCCGGGCATTAGGAACCTTGAATACAGAGACAGGTTAAAGCATCTTAATTTGCACTCCCTCGAGAGACATAGAGTGAGGGGTGACATGATAGAGGTGTATAAATGGAAGTCAGGGTTAAACAAAGGGGATATTACAAAGGTACTCAAACTATCCAACCAGGAGCGAACTCGTAACAATGGTTTTAAATTAGACAAATTTAGATTTCTGCGTGAAATAGGCAAACACTTGTTTGGAAACAGAGTAGTGGATGAATGTAACAAGTTACCAAATATCATCATTAACTCGAATACGCTGGATAGCTTCAAACATAGGTTGGATGCTTATATGAGCAATAGGGGTTGGGTATAAACGGGACTGCCCAGTATGGGTCAATAGGCCCGCTGCAGTTTCCTCCATTCTTATGTTCTTATGTTCCTCTTTGCTTTTCTTATCTCGGTCTTAACCCGACTGGCCAATACCTTATAATAATCTCGGTGGTAAACTTCACGATTTATCCTTCTACCTATAGCCTTTCTCTATCCAATAATATTCTTTAAATAATTGTTTATCCATTTAGGGTCATTGCCGTTTGATCTGAGTTTTGTGTATGGTATGTTCTGCCTTTGTGCATTAAGTAACGCATTATTTAAATTGTTGTGGAACTCGTCAACCTCAGAGTCTCGTGATCAGGTCATCCTCAACCGTCATATTTTGTGAGGATATCGTTGTCAGGTCTCCAGGTGAAGTGAGCTCGCCCTCTGTGGGTACATTGTGTGAGGTCACCTCCCGTGAGGTCATGTAATTCATCCCCAAACGCGATACCCCTTCTCTCAGCTGTCTTTTCAACCTATCAAAGTTTGCCCTTCTGAAATCTTGAACTTTAATGAAATTTTCCTTTCGTCTGCCATTAAATTTAAATTAAAATCTAATTTCTTTGTGATCGCCGTTGGCAAGTTCGTTCCCTACCTCGACATTACTAATGAGGTTTTCTCTGTTTGACAGAACCAAATCGAGAATATTATTACCCCTTGTGGGTTCGGTTATATGTTGACTTAGGAAGCAGTCCTGAACGGTTTCAAGAAAATCCTCTGATTCTGAGTTACCTGTAAGGTCGATCCAGTCTATTTGGCTAAAGTTAAAGTTGCCTACTATGCAGACTTTGCTGTGTTTGGAAGCCTTTTGCATTTCATTCCAAATAAGTCGTTCATTAGCTCTATCAAGATTAGGAGGTCTATATATTAATCCTGCGATTAATTTTTCTCTACCATCGATTAATTCTATCCAAATTGTTTCTGTATTCAGTTCAGTTTTCATTTCCTTAATTATTTCACACTTCCGATTATCCCTGACATAGATTGCTACTCCGCCTCGGAGTCAGCCGGGTGACTGCGTGACTGAACTGTATTGCGTTGCCCAGAGGATGGTTTGAGTGTGGAAGAAGTTATGTTTTTTATGTAAAATATGTTCTATTGTATTTTATGATGTTCTATGTATTAATATTATTGTTAATCATAGCAATTTATGCTTATATTTGACGTATGCAATATGAAATTTGTTCGCACTAGGTTCACCCTTTGCTCTCTAAGTCGTTTGTATAGAAGTTTGGTGTTAATAAATCACCTGTCAACTTTGAAAATGTTCCAAGAAAACTTGTTTCTTGTTATCACTAAAGAGTGCGGTACAGTATAGGACTGTAATCAGTGTTTACCGAACTGCCGTTTGTACCTGTTGTTCGCCCTCTGTACTTTGCTGTCCCTCGGTTAGTGATATTTTGCTTAATGTTAGGTTTTCAGGAACGCAACCCCTTTGTTAAAGGGGGGATACCTCTACCTGGTAGGGTCACACTTATTGACTCCCTTCCACATCTGACACTGCAGTGATGATAGGCGGGAGTGTCATCATTGTATTCTCCTCGCCCCTCCTTGACCAAAATGATCTTATTTGATTACTGGTTGCTGTTGAAATACTGTAAATTCTTTTTCATTGTACAATAATCGCATTTGGAGATTTTCCCCTTTGATGTTATATTTAAGTTATTTTTTTTATATTTTTCTTCAACATAAAGAAAAGATATGAGACAATGGAGATATTTTCATTCGTGTACACATACTAGTATAAATAAAGATACGATTAATCCCTAAACTATTACACAGGGTGACACAGTGAGAGTTATCTGGGCCTACAACAACGAGGATCCAGTTGATAAGACAAGCATGAAGCGGCATGAATATGATCAGCGAGGGACAAAGAGCCTCTACTTACAGGAACCTCAGTTCATTTTACCATCTTTCAGTGAGGATGTGAAGATGTGGGATCTTTTTTCTCCTAATGTTAGTGGTATTTTTAACAAATTTCTGTAAGACACAGTGTCTAGACAATCTTTTGAGGGACTTTCTAACTCATGACTTATTTTTTTAAATAGCATTTGTTAATGTTATATGATAGGATACATATTTGTAGATATTCTATATATTACACATCTTGTATACTCTACAGGTAAGCCTTCCTGGTAACCTTGATACTCTGTACTGGTGCAAACTTTTTAAGATGCCTCCCTTGACCAGTAAAAATAATATCATTGGGGTAAGTTCTATACTTATAAGTTTATATAGATTCTTCTTCATTCTTGTTTATTAGTATTTTAAATAATATCCTGAAAGTGGTGTAAGTTCTTCATAAAGAGTCTTAAATGTTTCATATTTTGGTTACATGAGCATAATCTATTTAACTGTTGTCACAAGTTTTCATCATCTTGGTACATCACTGTTTTGACTCATAAGTTGCTTGTTTTGTATCAGTATGCTTCAGTGATTGAGGAGAAGAACTTGGCACATGTCCACCACATCGTAGTGTACGAGTGTCACATTCCTGACAGTGCTCGTCACTTTGAGAAGTGGCTGGACCTTGAGGGCAACCAGTGCTTTTCACCCAACATGCCAGTTTCTTGGAAATACTGCAGAACTCCTATCTTCGGTTGGGCTATTGGTAGTGAAGGTAGGATGTACACGTATACAGTATGTTGCTTGTATATCATGGAAATGAAATTTAATATTTTTGAAGAACTTTGTTGGTTCTGTCATTCTTACATTATCATTTGCTTATCTACACACTTTTTTTTTCTACTTCTATGGATGTTGAGGGTAGTAACTTAGTGCGTATAGCTCTCCCTTAGACAAAGGCGAAGAAGCTACAGAAAGAGGAACATGTCTGTAGTGCTGGCTGTAATGTATCTGAATCCTCATTAGGTTTTGTCTGTACAGTATATTGTATTTTACTCCTTTTCAGTTAATTTTTAATAGTTTCATGGCAATTCTTTCTTGTCATATAAACCTCATAGTATAGCTCACTTGTGTCTTAGTTAAACCAGCATCTGGATTCTCAATTAGATTCTTGGATCATATTTTTTTTACATAAAGCTATACAGTATATTTAGACGTACAAAGGTCAATATATTTGGGGCAAGATAACATAGTTTTCGTTCGTGGTCCCTCAAAATTGAAGACAAATCCAGACCATGTTCTTCATTGTAATAAGTGTAATGTATAAAATATAGTATTGAAACTAGATTTTTTTTACTTGTTTAGTGTTTGTATAATGGTGGTTAAAAAAAATATGGAAAAAAAATCATAAGGACCTAAAGCATGATGTCACACATGGTAACTGTGAATAATAACAAGAAACTTACAAGGCCATAATATTTATATGGGCAGGCAAACATTAACATTGGACACAATACCATAAGGGATTCTTCGAGGAATATTTCTAGAAAGTCTCGGCAAAATTGACATAGCGGTTTTTAAGAAATTGATAATATGAAACATTTCCTCTATAGGCAGATGGATGGACAATTGGTGATCAGAAAGCCTTACTCTTCAAGCACAAGCTCATATAATGAAAGTACTGTATAGTAGAACCCCATTATTTAAAATTAAGGGGGAAAATGGGGAAAGAAAGTACAGCGGTAAACGCGTGTAGCGTACTGTTGTGGCAGGTTGTCAAACTCTCTTTATATGGTCTCGCAACGTACGTACATGTAATATATCTAACACTCAGGATTGAGGTAGAATAGAAACTCACAATGCGTTTTCTGTATATATATATATTGTTGTACAGTGCAGTGTTAAGGAGTTACTAGGTCAGAAGCTTGCTCAGAGTTCCTGTAGGGCGAGGAGCTTTCTGAGGGAGCGGGTGGTGTGGAGCAGTTGAGAGATGTTGTGGGTCCAGTATCTGAGTGTAGAGTGACCTCCCCGGTATTAAGAACATAAGAACATAAGGAGTCTGCAATAGGCCGGTTGGCCTGTGCATGGCAGCTCCTGTCGAGAGTTACTACCACTCTCTATCATCCATGAATCTATATAGCCTCCTTTTGAAACTTTCCAGAGTTCCCGCACTTACTACAAAGTTGTTAAGCTTGTTCCACTCGTCCACCACCCTATTTGTGAACCAGTTCTTCCTATCTCCTTCCTAAACCTATCCAACTTGAATCCGTTGCTCCGAGTCCTATCCTGCTCGGATATTATAAGAACTTTATCTATATCCCCTTTATTGATTCCTTTCACCCACTTAAATACTTCTATCATATCTCCCCGCACTCTTCGTCTTTCTAGGGAATGCAAGTTAAGTTTCTTTAACCTATCCTGATATGGAAGGTTTCTAAGTCCCTGAATCATTTTTGTCATTCTTCGCTGCACCGACTCTAGTGAATTTATATCCATTCTATAATAGGGGCACCAGAACTGAACCGCATAATCGAGGTGCGGCCTAACTAGCGCAAGATATAGTTGCAATAAGACCTCTGCACTCTTGTTACTTACACTTCTAGATATAAAACCCAATACTCTGTTTGCCTTATTTCGAACATTAACGCACTGTTTTCTAGGCCGTAGGTCCGGGCTTACAAGTACCCCTAGGTCTCTTTCACAAGTCGACTTCTCTAGGTTGATGTTGTTCAGGCTGTATACATTATAAGTATTTGTTCTTCAGATATTAAGTACGCTGCACTTGCTGGTGTTGAATTTCATTTGCCATTTTTCAGACCACCCCTGCAGTTTATTTAGATCCTCCTGTAATGCATTTGCATCCTGCCCTGAATTAATTTGCCGCCCTATTTTGATGTCATCCGCAAACTTGCTTATGTCACTGCTGATCCCAGTATCTAAATCGTTTATGTACATGTAGATTATGAACAAGAGTGGGCCTAGTACTGACCCCTGGGGAACCCCACTGGTTACACGGCCCACTCAGATTTAACACCATCTACGCTGACCCTCTGCGTTCTATCGGTGGATTTTACAAATTACGCAAGGCAACCATTACAAATGGCGGAGTCGAGGCGGGAGATACTGATAGCGAAATATAGGAAAGGGGGAAGAAGGTTTAGTAGTGAAAGAATGTGGGTTAAACGGAACAGACTTTTAGGAGGAGAGAAAGTGTGTGGCCTTCTGCCCACTGCATGGTATTGGGTGGTAGGTTGGGGTGACTGGGGCGATGGGAGGGTGGAAAGGATGTGGAGAAAAGAAGGCCAAAGGAAATGGAGGGCCCATCCCTATTTGGGTGGGGTGCACCTCATCTTTAATTTGTTTGGAGGGCCCATCATTATTTTTTTCCGAGTAGGGTTACACTTTTTATTATAGATAGAGGGAAACGGATGGAGATAGAGAAGTGGTGGTTATGATTTTAGGTTGGGGTAGGGGGGTGGCCATGGGTGTTGCTTGTTTTTTTCCATATATCTTAATCCGGCTCAAGTTACGTGGGATTGACCTTTGTTGTAAAGGTTTTAACTCTAAATACAAGTGAGAGGAGCCATGTCGTCGGTTCTGAGAGTGTTCATTACAGTAGTCCAAATCGTCGCCATGGGTAGAATAGGGGGAAGGGGTTTGGGGAATGCAGGGGAAGGTAATGTGATGGGATGGAATGTACGATTGACGTTAGTCGTGGGGGAGGGATGAAGAGAAGAGGTGGGGGAGGGAGGAGTGGAGTGGGGGGATGGTGAGTGTGGGGAGAGAATAAGTAGTCGATTAGTGTTTAGGTGTGGTAACCCATGATGCTCAAATTATGAGGTTTAATAGTCGGGTGGGTAAAGGTGGGAGGAAGGCTAGGAGCGGAGTTGGAACTCGTGAACGTATGATGTTGTTTAATGCAAGTTATGGAACATTACAGTATCTTCAAACGGATTTTCACGCTATTAATAGGCCTTATGTAATCCACCAATAAGGATTACAACAGCACACAGTATGGCTGCAATTGGTAAGAAAAATAAAATATAACACGGCAAAATTTTTGCCCTGCGTAATTTTTACAACCCACCTCACGCCTAAAGTAAACCGAAAAATGCTTATGTGTATAGAAGATTTTCAACTCAATATCACATATTCTTTCACCTCTACAAATATCTGCCCTCACTCATGGGACACCCTGCAATAGTATAAGGACGACATGGGCTATGCTGGCAAATTAATGTGACTTACCTGATGGTGACGGCGATGGTAGGAATAAGACCTCGGCATGTTTCAGTGTTCGACATCACCTCCTTCCCCTGGTGTGGGTGGCGCCAACCTTGGTAACAACTAGTGTATTCTCCGTGACTACCATTACTGGTAGCCATGAACGGCAGAGATATGGTCGTTGTAGTGCTTTTATTTAACCATTACACATTTCTTACCATGCTTAATAATATTAACTATCTTCATGACATTCTTATTGTTATCAGTGATTGCGGAATTCACGATGTTATGCTCCACCTACACACAGCCTGTTACTAGACTAACCCCCACCTCCTCTATCCCCCCCCCCACACACACACTACAGTGGGCGATATCTGTTGGCCAACCATAGCATTTCCCCCAGCTGTTTCGAAACTTCAGACTCAAGGCAATTCGAACCCTCACTGTGGCTGGGTAGTGGACACGACTTTGGCGCACGATAGTACCTGACCTGTCAGTTAGTTATAAGGACTCCACTATACTATATTATTTAATATTAATCATTTCTAAGATGGTATACAGTATTTTATTTAACTTTACCGAAACTTATATTTGATAGAGAAGTGCTATGATTGAGTGGATACAGCACTTGCTACCTGTCCTAAGGGTTCGTGATTTGCTCCCAGGGCATTCCCAATCCACCCAGCTATACTTAGAATCGCACCGTACTCCTTACATACTGGAGAATGAGCACAGTATACAGTGTACACTTTCACAATTGATAGGAATTGTGCTGGATTTCAAACCATTTTATTTGTGCTTCAGTAGTACCTTACAGAAGGATAACATATTCATTTTAGTGGTTTATTTATTCTTACCTTACTTGTGCTTGATTTGAATAAGGTATTCTTTTTTTGTGATCACCGGCTATCCCTTCACCATGTATCATATGCAGTATTTAAGTACAGTACAGTATTTATAATGTGTATGTAATTAATTACCATGGCTACATGATTTTGTTTTATACTACATGCTGATTGTTCTAGCTCCTATTCTCATTTTGCCTTTCTTGGTTGCTTGATCTTATTTCATAATCAAATTTACATAATGAAAAGAAATGAATTGATACACTGTTACAGTTTAGGCTCTTTGTCTCAGCCCTCACTTCAGCACTTAGTGACATCATCACCTACTTGGGCCTGTCACATGCTTTTAATGGCAGATTATATATTTTAGAAAGCTTATACGATAAAACAGTATTTTTTTGTGTTTTTTTTTTTACATGGAAGTGTCATTAGTATCAACGGTTAAACAGTAACACATATATCTCACAAAGATTAGTACTGTATCAGTGGTAAATGTGTTCCTAGCCTGGGTACACATGTGAGAAGGTATATTTCCGGTACCCGGGTTTCCTCCTGTACTAACACTGGCCATTAAAGGTCATAAAATGATAAAGAAAAGATCAACCATCCAAACGAATAGTAAGCTAATAAGATGTGAAATGATAAATGCTGTACAGATGCCGTTGCTACTTCACTCCTGAGCAGTTGCTTCAAGTTTATAAGGGATTCATTCGTCCTAACTTGGAGTACTGCTCTCATATCTGGGGTGGCTCTTCTTCTGTTCAACTGTTAAATCGGGTGGAGTCAAAGGCATTTCGTCTTGTTGACTCTCCTCCTTTAATTGATAATCTTTCTTCCATTTCTATTAGCCGCAATGTTGCTTCTCTTTCTCTCTCTTTTACAGGTACTTTAACAGGCAATGTTCGGTGGATTTGGCATCCTGTGTACCGCCGGCAAGGCCGTGGGCTCGTAACACTCGTCTTGCCTGCGGTGCCCACCGTTTCTCTGTGGCTGTCGGTCATACTAGAATAACCCGTTATAGTACACCCTTCTTTCCTCACACAGCCAAACTGTGGAATGCTCTGCCTTCTGTGTTTCCATACTCTTGCAATGTTTCACTTTAAAAAGCTGTTTTTCCGGCATCTTCGTGGTGTAGATTAATACGGTCTTTTTCTTTTCTATTTTTAATTTTGTTTTACTCTTATTTTACGCCCTCCAGGCCCCATTTTGGGTCGGTGAACCTATGCCCGGGTGGTCTAATCCGTAAAAAAAAAAAAAAAATAATCCCTTGAGAAGAATATCCCAATCGAAGAGCTGCATGACCTGAGGGGTATCAGTCTCTAGATCTGCTGGGATAGCTACTCTACTGATTTCAGTCAGATTTTTGAGCCTGGACCCTGCAGGGGCTCCAAGTATCTCTCGGTCATTAATATGATTTACTTACATAGGTGAGATGTTTCCGGATCATGTGGGCTTTCCAATTGGGGAGGAACATGGAGGAGCCACCTACTACATGATGGAAACTCATTATGATAATCCCTCCCAACAAGAAGGTGAGATTATCTGCCGCCTCTGGCCCAGTAAGGTCTTTATAACTTAAGTCACAGACTGCACTTTAAGTTAAATATATTAGACCATTTCAAGTCATATTGAGATGATTGTATTATAAATCACGAGTCAGGTGGGTTCATCGTGAAAACAACAACTATTAGACAGGTGAGTATAGTATAGGTATCCCTGTTACCCGAATGGATTTGATTCTTTGTAAATCATTCGGATAGTGAAAACGAAAAAAAATGGGGTAAAAATATGGCTCAGTTCCCCAACAAAAAGAAATCTCCAATATTATACCTAAAAAAAATTAAATTGGTTTACAAACAACAAAACACCTACCTAACTGCTGTATTTTAGTACCTAACTACCATCGCCATTATGAGGCAAATCCATAATGGCACGAACGGCAGTGTCCTAAACAATGGCACCCAGTCTGAGTTCTCCCGCTTCCAAACGAGGATAAATCAAGGATGTGTACTGGCACCAACTCTCTTTTCCATTTTCTTTGTTGCCTTCCTTACTCGTGCCAGTGCCAATTTAGCCGGCGGGGTGGACATCCTGTACCGGATGAAGGATCTTTTCAACATAAGACGACCCCAGGCAGGAACAAAGGTATCGGTAGCTTCCATTACTGAACTTCAGTACGCAGACGATCTTACCCTTCTCGCTCACACTGAACGCGACCTACAGGAGATCCTGAACACCTACGTAGATGCGTATGCACACTTCGGCCTTGAGAAGAACGTCCGTAAGACTCAGATTCTCTTTCAACCTGCCCCTGGTTCAGCCACACCTCCACCATCCATCCAGCTTAACGATACTACCCTCTCTAATGTTGCCCACTTTCAGTATCTCGGATGCCACCTGTCCACCACTGCAGACATCGGTGAAGAGATTCAACATCGGATCAGATGTGCATCTCAAGCCTTTGGCAGACTCCGTACCCGTGTCTTCAGCTATAGGAAGTTGAAATTATCTACAAAGTTGCTCGTATATCGAGCAGTGGTCCTCCCCACCCTGCTATATGACAGCGAGACACGGGTCACATACAGGAGGCACCTCAAGGCACTTGAAAACTTTCACCAACGTAGTCTACGCTTCATCCTCCGATTTGGCTGGGAAGACAAGAGAACAAATGCCAGTATTCCTGCTGACACCAACTGTAGAAGCATCGAGGCTACCATTATCCATGAACAACTACGCTGGATTGGCCATGTTACCAGCATGAACGACAGTAGACTGCCAAAGCAGCTACTTTACAGTCACCTAACGAATAGTAAACGTAACGCTGGGCGGTAACTGAAAAGGTATAAGGATAGTCTTAAGACAAATCTGAAAAAGTGCCAAATCGACCCCCCCTCACCTGGGAGACATCACTCCACACCGTAACGCACGGATGAGTATCATACAAGGTGTCAATACTTTCGAATTAGCCCAACTACAAACCTAGGCAGACAAGCACCAACGCCGGAAAGACGCTGCCTCCGCCCCTCCCGCACTAGATGTAGCCCCCCACATGTGCAACATCTGTGAACGACCCTGCCGGTCCCGTATGGGCCTCTTTAGTCACCATAAGACTCACCAACGAAGGTGACATCCTTAATAACTCATATCACTGTCTCATAGGTGAATGATCTTCACTCTTGATTCCGAGTGACAGCAAAGTAGTAGTAGTAGTAATTACCTGTACTGTAATTAGTACCTAATAACTGTACCTAACTACTGTAATTTATTACCTAACTGTTGCATTTATTACCTAATTTGTGTACATTCACAGTAAATTGCTAAACTCAATAAAATACACTGTACAGTTGGTACTGTACACTACGTTATCGGAGGGCGGTCAGAGCTCATCACAGAGAGAGAAGGGTGGGCTGATTTGAATTTATTTTGAATTTTTTATTTGACCGTCGTTTGGATTAGTGAGGATTGCTTTTGAATGGTGAAAGAGGTGGATAGAGAACATTCGGATAATAAGGGATACCTGTATAATAATATAAGTCATATGATAAATTAGGTAACTGAATTCTCAGTTTCAGACCTCAGGAATTTATCCCATTTGAAGCTGAGAACATTTGTGCATTGTAGCTTGAATCTGAGGCTTGGTGTAATTATCATCTAGCCGAGGATCAGTGCCACTTAAATCTCAGGGCCAGTTGGATTTTTATGCACTTTGAACAATCACATTACGGTAGTGATTTTAAATTGAGCCTGAGATTAGGTAAAATTATTCTATTTAAAGTTAGTATACAATACAGTACATAGAATCTACCAAGAGCAGAAAGTCTCATATTTTGACAAAGTTTATTATTCCCTATATTATTGGTACCTATATAGTATAAAATTGAACTGGTTTGGCAGTAACCAAATACTTGTGTATCTCATATCTTACACAAAAATTAAATGGAAAATAGCATTTTAGATATTAATTTACCTGAAATCTTTCATCTCCACATATTACTGTTACACTTAGTACAGGAGTACACGATTCAAGGGGTGTATTTATTCTTCAGGTATTGTTGATGCATCAGGGATTCGCATCTTCTACACGGACCGCCTGCGTAAATATGATGCTGGGACAATAATGTTTGGGCATTCTGTATCGCCACTGCACATAATTCCTCCCAATCAAAAGTGGCTTAGTATTGGCCACTGTCACAGTTCCTGCACAGAGAAGGTAATTACATCATTCGCTGTCATTAAAATTAGAGTGTAGTTAACAAAATTATTTATAACACTCAGTTTTGGTTTGCATTCACTTTGTAATGTTTCTTAGTGCTGTAGATTTGGCCATACACGAGAGAAAGTTATGGAAATATAAAGAGAGAGACGAGGATTTTATGAAAATTGGAGAGATTAAAATTCTCTTTGTTTTGCCCTTTACACAAGGTAGCGGAGGAAGGAGTGAGTGCGGACTCACCTCCCACACTTGTCAATCTGTGTTCCCTTTATAACGACAGCATGTAATTTCGCCATAATTCTCATATTATTTAGGTTCATTTGATCCTCGGTTAATAACACTTTTTTTTTATATTGGGCACCCCCCTACATCCTTGTGTAAGGTGAAGCGCAGAAGCGTTTACAGCGCCCAACAGGGAAGCATGCTAAGTTCATGCTTGCCTTATGTCTCATGAGTTAAGGGCGTAGAAGCCTGAAGAGTCAATGGTTTATGTCTAAGCAAGTTATTGGAAGCTCCAACAACTTGTCCCTGAATACGAATTCGCAACTTTCGATTTACAGCAGATACCTACTTTGCTGCTAGGTGAACAGGGACCAAGGGGACTAGGAAGAGTGTCCCAACAACTTCCGCCCGCCCGGGAATCGAACCTGACATCTTGCGTGCGAGGCAAGAGCGGTACCGCTCTACCACCAGCGCCCCCCATTAATAATACATTATCGAAAGTTCATTAATTTTTCCTCAAAAAATCTCGCACTCAATCCCAGATGAGCTATTGCGCTGTAATATATTCTTAGTCTTGTTTACAAGAGCGATAACAGCTCATCGATGATCCCCTTAATAATGTTGCTAGCACTCGGCATCTCTCAAGCACCATTCTTGTCACTGCTCAAGAAGGTAACATATTTATCAGAACTTAATAAATATTATTGTGGTGTATAGTGCATCTCCATGTTCCCGGGTTTATTTACTGATTCATGTGGTCCTAGTGCTTACAACTGCCCTACTTATGTTTTCTTGGTCGTCAGAACAGTAAATTTTCGTGGTCATGGTTTCGCAGCCAGTCACAATGCGGGGAAAATAACTAATCCGAACGTTCGGTAAAACACAGTCGGATATAATAAAATAATGGTTGCCCCTCGTGTAACGAGGATGGCCGGCCCAAGGGCCATCTAGGTGTGAATTTGTTTAAGGTGTAGAAGCTGACGCCAACTCAACAGCCATTAACGAGTTAACGAGTTGAGTGACCCAATGTGAAGGAATAGTTCGAGAAGACTGGAAAAATCGCCAACTCCATTGGGTTACCATTACCCCCGGAACATGATTCGCAAATCGATTAACATCCAGGTTCCCAATTACTGCTGGGTAGACAGAGGCAAATGGCGTAAAGAAACTTGCCCGTAGTTTCACTATAGCCCTCCCCTTGGTTCTTTGTCAATCGTAAATTCGCCATCGCATTGCTCCACGATTATCGACCAGCCCTAACATTTAAAATGGTGACTATGAAGTGATGTTTCTGTGTTTTTTTGTGACTAAGGTGCGTCGACTCTGTTGTTTTGAAAATGTGAGCAGTGTTGGCTGCTATCATTGTTTGTGTTATCATCGTTCATTTAGTTTTTATGACAAGTGCTTTTGCTCTGTTTTTGTGACTGTGAAATGAGCAGTGTAACTTTAAAATGTCTGGGAAGGCCAAGGCATCCAAGACAACCATGTCTCTGAGGTGAAGCTTCTTGACATTGTTAAGCAGCATGAGACTCTCCAGAGGCTGTGTGTGACTCAGAGTGACGTCTCCAGTCACCTACAAGAGTCCCCTTAGCCTCGAAGGGGACATGTGATGATGACCAGACTTATTCTTCAGGATGTAGTGAGCGTTATTTAATTGTTTTGTACTGATAGTGGTATTGTAGGATATTTTTTTGTCGGTGGTACATGACAGGCTGGGACCATATCCCACTGAACCCCATGTTATAATGGTCGCTATCTACGATAATCCACTTTACGTTGTGTTTTTCAGGAATCTAACCCCATCGTTTATCGAGAATTAACTGTTTATTTATTTATTAAATGAATGAATTTATTTATTTATCAATGCGGATCTGTGCAGCATCTCCGAATGGAAAGGTAGAAACTTGGTTAAATTCATTAGTGGTAAAAAACAGTATTTACCAATTACACTTTCCAAATTAGATGATCTCCCACCAATCATATTTCAGGACGTAATCATTCTGCCAAATTCTAAAATAGATATGCTAGGCCTCACCATTTCCTCTAGTATGTCATTTCTAAAGCCCGGAACCATTGTACGCGAGAGATAACACCACTCATATAACCTTAAAGATGGGGATTATCCTGCCAGTTACACAAGGACCTGGCGGGACCCCACAGTCACAATCACAAAAGATGAAGAACATCCCTTCAGCAACACAAGGACCTGAAGGGACCCTCCAACAAACCCAAAAACATCACCTTCCTGAGGATGGCACTTTAAACCAGCCTAGCTTAGCTTATCTAACCTCCCTTGCCCTTGGAGGAGTGAGGGACGTCTGTCACTGGCTAAACCACAAACCGGCCTCCGCAAGGTGGAAAGCCCACCTGCTATCATTCTCCTTCTGTACTTCCCACTTCTTAACTATACCTTGCCCTAAATATCCTTGTTCACCTCAGAGCCACGGCTTTCTTCTCGGTGTTCTGACTAACTGACTTTGAGTACTGCTCTCATATCTGGGATGGCTCTTCTTCTGTCCAACTATTAGATAGGCATTTCGTCTTATTAACTTTCCTCCTTTAGTTGATAGTCTCTCTTCCCTTTCTCTTCCCGGAAATGTTGCTTCACTGTCTCTCTTTTACAGGTACAATGTTCGGTGGATTTGGCATCCTATATACCGCCGGCAAGGCCATGGGCTCGTAACACTCGTCTTGCCCGCGCTGCCCACTGTTTCTCTGTAGCTGTTGGTCACACTAGAATAACCTGTTATAGTACACCCTTCCTTCTTCACACAGCCAAACTGTGGATTTCCTTGCCTTCTTCTGTGTTTCCATACTCATACAATCTGTCTCACTTCAAAAAGCTGGTTTTCCGGCATCTTCGTGGTGTGGATTAATATAATCATTTTCTTTTCTATTTTTAATTTCTTTTACTCTTATTTTTTCACCCCCTTCGACCCTGTTGTACGTCGGTGACCTGTGCCCAAGTGGGCTATTCCCCGTAAAAAAAAATTATATATATATATTCAGTATATATATATATATATATATATATATATATATATATATATATATATATATATATATATATATATATATATATATATATATATATATATATATATATATATATATATATATATATATATATATATATATACAGTATATATATATATATATATATATATATATATATATATATATATATATATATATATATATATATATATATATATATATATATATATATATATATATATATATATATATATATATATATATATATTATATTATATATATATATATAATTAATTAATATTTATTTATTTATTTATTTATTCACAGGAATTGCCAGAAAATGGAATACACTTGATTCAAGGACTGCCCCATGCCCACTTGTTAGGCAGTTCTATCTCACTGAGACACATTCGTGATGGTCAAGAACTTCCTAGAATTTTGACAGGTGAGTCCAGGTGTTCTGGCCTGCATCATATTCTTCTACAGGTTAAGTATCCCTTATCCGAAAGGGTCTCGGATTTGGGAGATTTTCGTATTTTTGGAATGCACTGTAACCTATATCCTGTATACCTGTATAATGCGATAGCTCAACCTGCGGGGATGGGACCCAACGAACAATCTGCCAGAGTGTGTTGTGAGCTCTTTCAAGAACAAACTTGACCAACACAGGAACAGGTTCAGATACATTCAGGAGCCAGTGCATGCCCAGTACTTGCCAACAGTGCGACCGACCGCCCAAGCAGCTAATGAGCCGATCGGTGGTGAAGAGGATAGGAGTAAAAAAAAAAAAATAGTCTTTGCACAAAATAAATTTATATTTAATTTACAGCAAATGGGTGCATATAGCCTGTTGGTAATTTAAAAAAAAAATATATATATTTTTAATAATTTTGTGGATGAAATACGTGAATGATGTACTGTACAGTGAAGAACCAGAAAGGTCGTGGAAGCACGACAATGGCAATGGCGTAACGAATGCGTATTAAATAAGCGTAATATATCCATTATAATTCACCATACCCATACACATCCCTGTACTGCACTACTTTTCTCTATCACTTATTATTTTTCCAAGCTAGGCCTATATATTAGACATGCTTTTGTGTGGTACATGGGACTGTATTGTGATAAGCCATTTCACCAACGTCTCATAAATTCAAAAATATTTAATTATTTTATTACACACCACTTTATCACTTCATAAGAATAAATATCGAGACACACTCATTGCTTACTGAGGCAGAAGCATTACTGGCGACATCGTTTTCCAGCATAAATAAAATGGTTAATTAATGCCTTCCTAAAGAAACCTTCGACATGGGACCAGGTTTGTTCCACTCTACGAATTTTTTGCGATTTTTCCACCAAGTTTAATGAAAAACGATTGTACCGTTTCGGCTGCCCAGAACAGACACACACACAGACATACGACTATTCCTATAGTACAAGTGATCGCTGGCCCTACGTGCCCGGTGGCGAGTTCGGTGGGACAGTTTACTTAGGTTGTTATAATCATGGTCGTGGTTGTTATAATCATGGTCGTGGTTGTTTTAATCATGGTCGTGGTTGTTATAATCATGGTCGTGGTTGCTATAATCATGGTCGTGGTTATTATAATCATGGTCGTGGTTGTTATAACCATGGTCCTGGTGGTTATAATCATGGTCCTGGTTGTATGATCATGGTCCTGGTTGTTATAAGCATGGTCGTGGTTGTTATAATCATGGTCGTGGTTGTTATAATCATATTCGTGGTTGTTATAATCATATTCGTGGTTGTTATAATCATAGTCGTGGTTGTTATAAACATAGTCGTGGTTGTTATAATCATGGTCGTGGTTGTTATAATCATGGTCGTGGTTGTTATAATCATAGTCGTGGTTGTTATGATCATAGTCGTAGGTGTTATAATCATGGTCGTGGTTGTTATAATCATGGTCCTGGTTGTTATAATTTTTGTCGTGGTTATTAGGTACTGTGAGTATCTAGTATACTATAGGAAGGAATAGAATAAATGTTAGAATAATTAGGTAAAGAAATATTCGCCATAAGGAGAGGTTAAAATCTTAACACAAAAATTATTATGAATCACCGATGATCATTCCAAGATAAATTATATTATGAAGAAAGGTGACCTTGATTCTGGTTAGATTAGTCACCATCTGCTTAAGCCATCACCTGTGTTAAGTCATCATAGTCATCATCTATGTTAGTCAGTTTTAGGCCCATCTCAAGTGACTAACCGACCATCGATGTTCTTTCCGCGCGAGGGTGTTAGTTTTCAGTGCGTCTTATTATTTACGCTGGTGGATGTAAGACCAGCTACCCTCACTGACGCAGCTATGGTCAATTTGGTGTTATTATTGTTTATAAATGCCTTCTAATCTGTCTCAAGTCTATACGTCCTGTCTATTGCCATCCCAACTGTCTGTTCGTCTGCGTGGTGTTTGAATGTAAGCCCGTCTGTACTCTTTGTGTCGTCAAATCTGTCTGTCTTATCCGTTGTTGGAGTGTGTCTGCCTGTTTGTCTAATGTGAACCAGTCAGTCAGCTGTCTGTCTGTCATGTTAGTTGCCATATTGTCTATTTGTGCATGTATGAATCTGTCTTTTTTTGGCAACCTCCTGTCTGTTTCACTGTCTATATTCACCCTGTGTAGTCATGTCTGCCTGTCTGTATGTATGTGTCTGTTGTCTTTGTCTTTCATAAGTCTGTCTATCTTTCTGTTTTTCTGTGTGTCCTTGAATCTGTCTGTATTATGTCTTTTGTTTGTCCGCTTCTCTCTCTCTCCATTTTTGTCCGTACTATCTTTATTTATATATCTCTATGTCTATCCATTACACTACTCATCATATTTAGCACTTTTTCTTCCTTATTAAATCGGTGATTTTAATATGGTTTTCTGGGAACTTTAAAAAACACATCCCTCCATTCATACCTCCACCTCTCACTATCCCTCTCTCCCATCTCCTTTCCTCGCTCGCCTCTTAAGGATAAAAATTCTTCAGTCTCTCTTCTTCTCCTTTTGTATCTTCTCCATGCATTCCTGTTATTATCTTTTTATCTCTTCTCCTTGTCAGCCACAGGAATAAGTATACACTGTAGCCTCGTAAGGTCCGAAAATGCTCTGGTAACGTTGAAACTGCGCATCCAGACGCATGATGAAACTCAACTCCCCCCACCTGTTATCTCAAACTATATTCTGTTCCCCTTCTTTATTATTCTATTTACTCATTTTCCTTCCTTTACTAATCCAAACAACATTAAAAAAAGTAGGCTTAGAGAAAAAGTGGGGGGAGGAGGAGGGAGCCGTATGGTAACTGCAATCGTCCTGCCGGCTGACAGCGTACAGCGACATCTTTTGCCAGCGTAAATAAAATGGTTAATTAATGCCCTCCTAAAGAAACCATCGACATGGGACCAGGTTTTTTCCATTCTACGAATTTTTTGCGATTTTTCCACCAAGTTTGATGAAAAACGATTGTGCCGTTTCGGCTGCCCAGAACAGACAGACACACGCCTAGTCCTATAGTATATTAGCATGGTGTTGTTTTTGTATGGATGCACTCTCATGATCAGCCAGGAATATTTTACACTTGTAAATAACTGATAATCTTTGAATGTAGGTGGAAACAAAAGTTTCTGTCACCAACAAACTCATTTTCTATCAGCTATGAATATATTCTATCTCAATATATCAAAATTTGGAAGGTGAAAAAGTGTTTTTATATTCATCAGGACTGTCATCGGGTGGGTACCCCCTACACGTGAAATGTTCCAACGATCCCAATAGCAAACCTGGTCCACTGGGACTGTGGCATTTCTGAAAGACCTCACCTGATACTATTTTCAATCTATCGAGTGGCATAACGATGGAGAATACGGCCCTTAGGTTCATATGGTGCCAGGCTAATATAATATTAACGAAAAATAATAAATTTTATCCCCAAAATCTCACACTCAATCCCCGATGAGCTATTGCACCGTAGTATCAGGGCAGCTCTTTCGCTAGGCCACGGTAGGACGCTACCTTCTGGGAGGCTCCACATTGTCTCACTGTAGTGCATTAAGGTAGACCACATTTTTTGTTTTGCCATTAGCAGCAAGTATGTACAGATTTTTGCCAGTTCCCACTCTGGAGCATCCAACATAGAACTGTCCATGAGAGAAGCATGGAAACACCAGGCTTAGGCCAACTATCTTTAGGGACTGTCCCTGGCTTTTGTAGATGGTCATGGCAAAGCTCACTTTAACCGGGAACTGAAGTCGCTTGAACTCAAATGGCAGGTCAGTGGTGATGAGAGGTATCCTTGGTATAAAAACGTCCTCTCCTTTAGCTTTTCCTGTCAGTATTGTAGCTTCCAGTACATGTGGCATCATGTTCTTCTTGTGAGCGACTCTTCTCTCATTTTGAGTATGATGTCTCGTTTCTCAAACTCTTGACCGACAATCAGGATGGCTACTTCATCAGCTACAGGAGCATTGAATCTTCTTTCATGTTCTCCCTTAGGGGTCATGTCTGCTTTGATCTTGACTTTGTACTCCTCAGAAGGAATGTTTTCCAGGGCATTTTTAAATGACTGTACATACGTGTTGTGCTCATGCAGCATTTCTTGGATAGATAGGACAATGGCATGTCTGACACCTTGAATATTGTCACACCTGATAGTAGTCTGCTTTTCATGATCTCCCATGAAGTAGATTTGGAGGAACTTTGCCTGGTCATCTTTCAGTGGTAAGAGGGATCCTGCTTTGTGATAGACTTGACCCTGAGCTTTGAATGTTGGTATGTATCCGTGCTCACGAACTACTCTGGTAGCTCCAAAGGATGTCATCTGGAAGTATGAATTGTACTTCAGTATATTTTCCAAGAAGTGTTTTGACTCTGGTGTTGTTCCCAGCATGAGAGTCTTCAATGGTTGTGGTGGTTTTCCAAATTTGGCAGTCGTACTTTCCCATGAGAGCAGCACAGTCCAGCAGATTCTCCTTCGTACTTCTTTGCACCGCAGTATTCACATTTATTATCCATGTTGCCAATGACAACAGAGGGATACTTTTCATAATCTATCTCATTGTCATAGGTAAATGATGCTCTTGCAAGTGGATGCCACTGTGTATTCTTTCTTAGAATTCTGGATCCCGCAGCTCTCTGTCTATTCGCATTCAAACAAATTTCATGTGCATGATCATTTTCTAGAGAAGGCCTTTCTGCTGTTTGCTATCTGTCAGCATTAAGACGGGATTCCCTTTCCTGATCTGTTTCCTGTGACCGACTGTCCGCTGTTCGCTCTCTCTGAGCATTAAGACGGGATTCCCTTTCCTGATCTGTTTCCTGTGACCGACTGTCCACTGTTCGCTTTCTCTTAGCATTAAGACGGGATTCCCTTTCCTGATCTGTTTCCTGTGACCGACTGTCCGCTGTTCGCTTTCTGTTAGCATTAAGACGGGATTCCCTTTCCTGATCTGTTTCCTGTGACCGACTGTCCGCTGTTCGCTTTCTGTTAACATTAAGACGGGATTCCCTTTCCAGATCTGTTTCCAGTGACCGACTGTCCGCTGTTCGCTTTCTGTTAGCATTGAGACGGGATTCCCTTTCCTGATTTGTTTCCTGTGACCAATTGTCCGCTGTTCGCTCCGGGCAGCTCATCAGCTAGGCCACGGTTGGACGCCACCCTCCGGGAGGCTCCACATTGTCTCACTGTTGAGTCCCCAAAACTTCTTCTTCCATCAATAGTTCATTAACGGTGTATGTTTTTCACCATGTTTTTCACTGCCAACGGTACAGCAAAGTATATTTTTTTAGCATTAAACTGTTATACATTTTATTGTCTAATCCATCACTACATATGAACATCATCCATCATCACTACAAATAACAATGCTACATTCATCATCACTAAGTATATGAATAACTCCCCAAATGTAATTCACTCAGTTTCACATATAACACCACCCATCATCACTACATATAACAATATCCATCATCACTACATATAACATCATCCATCATCACTACATATAACACCATCCATCATCACTACATATAACATCATCCATCACTACATATAACATCATCCATCATCACTACATATAACACCACCCATCATCACTACATATAACAATATCCAACATTACTACATATAATACTACCTATCATGTCACTAAGTATATAACATTCTCACACCCATCATCACTAAGCATATAAATTATCATCCCATCATCACTATATATAACATCATCCATCATCACTACATATAATACCATCCATCATAACTTGCCACAGATCGGTTACAGTTTCCGAGATTCTCGTGCGGACACACACACACACACAAACACAGAGCAAGCTTTGTTTTATATATATATATATATATATATATATATATACATATATATATATATACATATATATATATATATATATATATATATATATATATATATATATATATATATATATATATATATATATATATATATATGTACAGGTTGACAAACCTTTTTATCCGAAATTCCGTAAACCGAAAAGCTCTGAAAACCGAAAGTTTTTGTGAGCATTTTTTTTTTTTTTTTTTTTTTTCTTCAGGGATTAGCCCACCCAGGCATAGATCACTGACCCACATCGGGGCCTGTGGGGCGAAAATGTAATAGTAATACTAATTATAATAATAATAATTATAATAATACCTGTAATTATTCAAAGTAAATAAAAATTTTAATTAAAAAATACACCAAAATAAAATAATAATGATAACAATAATACTGTATTAATTAAATAATAATAATAATAAAGAAATACAAGAATGAAAAAAAGATAAAAAGTGAGTAACATACCTATGAATTATTATTCTTACCTGTGTTATCATTATTATATTTTCGCCCCCCAGGCCATAATGTGGGTCAGTGGACTTCAGCTCCGGATGTAATAATACAAAAAAAAAAAAAAAACATTCTGAAAACCGAAAAATAACGAAATCCGAAATGCCTCTGGTCCCAAGGATTTCGGATAAGGGATTGTCAACCTGTATATATGTAACCGGTCAGGAATTACTGGACTTTCGATTTCTCACTTGACTTGGGGTTTATTAAAGATTATTAAATGAAATTGCAGTGGAAGCGCCCCTCTGAGAAAAATCCCGAACCAGCACAAGAACACTTAAATTTACTAAGCAAAATAAATTGTCCGTGACCAGTGGAAGGATAGAGTCTGTGACTGGGATGAATGAGACACACTGTAAAATTTAGACACTTGTATTCCCTCCAACACTACAGACACAATCAAATAATGGTACACCAATATGCGCACCTCTTAACTTGAACTTAAAACACTACTCTGGGGAATAAAAGTTATACATGATATTGAAATTATTAGAAACTCAGACAATGCCTCATTAGACAACAATAAATTTAAAGTATAAAGAAGTGTTGCTTGCACACATGAAACAGGCCTTTCGGGTTTTCACAAAATAATATCCACCACTGCGGAAGTGGTATAAAAATAAGAAATTATTAATTCCACCATGAATAGGCCTAAAGGGCACTCAACAAAATTATATCAAGCACTGAGAAAATGGTGTAAAAAATAACAACTTATTCACTCCACCCTGAGTAGGCCTTCAGGGCACTCCGCAAAATTGTATTACCCCAACAGATGCACACCTCCTAACCTAACTTAAACCTACTCTGGGGAACAAAGGTTATACCTGAGATCGGAATTATAAAGAAAAATTACATGCATTAAAGGAATTAAATCACAGTATCTCTCTGGTTCCACTTAGTGACACAAACATTCAAAAAACAATACTATCAAAATCATTTAAGAACTATTACTACACACCAAGATAATATCAGTAACTGAAAAAATGGTACTAACTACACACAACAATATTGTCACTATTACTGAGATGTTACTGGGTCCACCAATACCCGTGAACCATGCTCCACCCCACTCAACATACACCCGTATTAAGGGAGATAAAATGTTTCTCTAGGTATCCCCTAGACTCCTGGTCTCAGTGTGTGACCATTAATTTACTCAGATAGCCTCAGTGTACTCTCAGTGCGTCCATGGGCGGGAAGAAAGAACGCCAACAGGTGACTATGGCCAGTAGGTAATACTTCTATCTGACCGAGGACACGTGGTGTTGTGCAACCACGTGGTAAGAACTGATCACCCAATGCTGATGCTGGTCCCGTATCGTTTTAGTTGTCGGGAGCACTCGTTCACTCAAGAGACCCTTTGCTACCCAGCTAACCAGTGACAAGCCTGCACTGATCGTTCCAACGGCGACAATAGCCAATCATCAATCCTCAGCGGCAGTCTCAAACGGCAGTCAGTTCAATCTCTCGCAGTCAAGTGGGTTCTGAGGAAACCCTGAAATTAACTCACTGTTAGCTCTTCATAACTTTATCACTGCCCTATCTAAACCCTGTCTGAGATCGAATGAGACTTACTTGTTATACTGCAATAGCGCAACACAGGTGACTAGAATACGTGATCCGTTTGTGGACTGACGAGCAGGGACGTCCTGTCTGTCCTATTACTTTCGCGTGACTGAGAAACAGCCAGCCTCGTGTCCTCTCAAGGCGTTAAGGCCTACGTGACATATTTTTCGTCTAACTAATAACTTTCTTGGGACACCCGTAACATTACTCAGACTAATAAACGATCTATAATAATTTAAAATTCAATAATAGTCCCTTTCTTCATGAATCGCATCATTATTAATTCGGCAAATTACATTTAATATTATATATGCCTAGTTCCACAAACTCTCACTACGTGCAAGAGCGCGGTCTTCCCTCAGAATGCACAATCCAAGAATAAATGTAAAAGTATGTAACGTGTAACACTGCAATTAGCTGTACAGTATATGAGATTTTTTTTCTTGGATGTAGATCCAAAGTTTTGGCGCCTGCCACTATTTATACAATGATAAATGTGGCCAAGAGCCAACAAAAGGTTGGGGGACCACTGCCTTATATATGAGTCAAATACCCCAAGAAATCGTTGATTACCATAGATCTTGCACAATTTTTGCTTACTCTAAATTTAACCCTAAAGAAGGTCTGATTAACCCTAAAATGGGGTATCGAAAAAAAAAAGGATTTCAGAGCATTTCGGTTTTGGGTCATTTCGGATAAGGGATGCCAAATCTGTATATGATGTACAGTACAGTACAGTATAGTTTCAGAGAATTACTATGAAATTCGAGATTGAAGAAAAATGCAAATTTTAAAAATTATTTTCTATAAATTTAGATTAACACACACAGTAAAAATATATAAATTAATAGATTATAATGTTCAAAGTTACATGGACAATTGAAGGTGGATTTGGTATATATTATATAAATCCATATATTTAATTCCACCAGACAAGACCTACGATTTCAACTTCCAGTCTACAAGAATATTAAAGGAGGAAGTCACCATACTGCCTGGGGACTCCCTCATTACTGAGTGCGGGTTTGATGCCACCAGACGTTCTCGACCCACTTTTGTAAGTATTGTGTAGGGTAAAGTAGACATTAGCTGCCCCCAACCCACCTTGGTGAGTATGTGTCGGGTAAAGTAGACATTAACTACCTCCAACCCACCTTTGTGAGTATTGTGTAGGGTAAAGTAGACATTAGCTGCCCCCAACCCACCTTTGTGAGTATGTGTCGGGTAAAGTAGACATTAACTACCTCCAACCCACCTTTGTGAGTATTGTGTAGGGTAAAGTAGACATTAGCTGCCTCCAACCCACCTTTGTGAGTATTGTGTCGGGTAAAGTAGACATTAGCTGCCCCCAACCCACCTTTGTGGGTATGTGTCGGGTAAAGTAGACATTAACTACCCCTAACCCACCTTTGTGAGTATTGTGTGGGGTAAAGTAGACATTAACTACCCCCAACCCACCTTTGTAAGTATTGTGTAGGGTAAAGTAGACATTAACTACACCCAACCCACCTTTGTAATTATTGTGTGGGGTAAGGCAGGCACCATTTGCAGGCCCTCTCCATTGTGACCTCTGTGTTATGTGGCTATGAGGATATTATTGTACATAATGTGAGTGTTCAAGTTAAAAAAGATAGTGACAGTGTGGTCATCCTGCAGGGTGGTTTCGGTACACAAGAAGAGATGTGTTTGACCTTCCTGACGTATTATCCTCGTGTCAATTTGTCCATATGTTCATCAGCGCCACCAATGGAGAGCATCCTTCAAGGGGTTGGAATACAAGAAGTATACAATTCTGAACAGATGTAAGTTCACATCTTTTTTATTTTCTGTACACTGTTTATTATGGTGTAAATGTGGCTACCACTTACAATGAGAAAACAGTAATATTAACAAAATTAGTACTACTGTATACATTTATTTTTACTTGGAAACCGTACTGTCAATAATAACAATATAGACTCCTTATATATCCTTTCACTCACACTTATCTCTAAGAGGCTTTTATTCATTCTTTTTCTTTCACTCATCTTCATTACCATCTTCATTATTCTTATTTTATGGACATTTTATATCTTGTGTGGATTAGCCAGGATTTCCATGGCATGGTGTTCCAGTTGCCATCAGGCAAATTTAAAGATTTTATGGCTGGATATTCTCCTTATTGCAAACTCAATTCTATTTATATTAATTTAAATGTGAAATGGATGATAGCTCTGTTATCATTGTCATCCAAGTTTACACTAGTGTGTCGATGTAATTTTCATCCACATCGCTGACACGACGTGTATCGGATGTATCTTTAATATCCACAACTGATACCAGAATATTACTGTATTAAGAGATCACACCACTATTTACCAGTGTAACCAGATCACACCAGTAGTTGTCAGTACAGTGACCTGTAAATCACTCTTGGAGTATTACCACTATATTTTTGTATTATCCAGACAAGTGATAATTTTGAGCTGTAGGCATTGGTGAAATCTATAATTAACCTTATCTAAACAAAAAACAAAGAGTTATGAAATTAAAATATTCCTTGCTTTTAAACATGGGATTAAATAAGTACTGTACTCAGTGTAAATGCCTGGACTTTGGGATATAAATCCCTTGCTAGACTAACCAGGATCTTATAAAAGGAAAGTCAAGAACCATGGGTTTCCAAGGGTAACAAACAAGCGTTTGAGATTGACATCTCTTTATTACGAAAATAATCACATTAATTGACACCACTCACACAAATATAAAATAAACAATTACGGGAGTCAAACAATTAAGGGAGTCAAACAATTACGGGAATCAAACAATTACGGGAGTCAAACAATTAATGGAGTCAAACAATTATGGGAGTCAAACAATTACGCGAGTCAAACAATTACGGGAGCCAAACAAAGTACAGATATTTCCTACGGCTGCAGCCATGTGGAATGTTCCGTTGACGCAGTGGTCCGCTCTCAGGGGGAAGGTCCAGGGCAGTTTCCTCACTTGGCGCCCGCGTTGGTGGGCGATGTCTTGCCACACTGGAGAGACGCCAGGGCACGGACGGTGGATAAGGCGTGGAGGAAGTGGCGATGCCGTGGCAGCCGCGGTACTAGCTGGAGCAGGTGTCCGGAGATTGACAGCCAAATAGTGAAGGACTGGGGAATCAGCCCACGAGCCCCAGGAGCCTCAGATGAGTACACGACCAGGGTTTGAATCGAACAGCTGGGGAAGTGCAGCTGTGGTGCTGGCTGGCTAGTGTTAGATATTTGACGAAGCAGCAGCGACCTTCTCACCTCCGTCTACCCTCCCTAGTGCCGCAAACGAGCGGCAGACAGTTATCCTGCTCGTTACCGCCCTTACACTCAGATTAAATAAACATTTACATAATCATGAATAAATCAATAAAACATACACTATCTAGTGATAACTTCTCACTCGGAAATCACTTGTCCATATAAAAAGTCAAAATGATGATTATATCTTTCTAAGTATTAGCGTACTAATTTCAAACTTAGCTGAAGATAAGTCGTTGTTCCAAGTTGTAACATCCAGTGTTCTTCCACTGATATGTTAAAAAAATATTTGGAAACATAAGGGCGGATCCAGGGAAGGTGGGGGGAGGGTGTCCTTGGGGTCCATACCCCACTTTTCATCAGAAAATTCCAATACATTTTCTTTAATGCAGTATGGTACTCAGGCGTTTTTATACAGTAGAAAGTAATTACTATTGACCCCAGAATGTCTCCTAATATCAAGTGGATATGGCTTCAAAATAGCCTGAAAATGCCCAAAGTATTGGTTAGATTTTAAAATATTTTCTGGGGGCCTACAGCCCCCCCTACCCCCAAACCCCAAGCTGGATGGCCTCGCTGTGCTCGCCCTGTTCCCCCACCCACAACTTCTTGGACCTCCCTTTTGATATTCCTGGATCCGCCCCTGAAACCTCTTGGACAATACACGGCTTCAACGTTAATTAAACTGCTGCAAACTTAATAGTTCCAAGATAAATGTAGCAGCAAGTTACAACTGCTCCACACGTATGAATTCCTGTACACATAAATCTGCTGTGCACATAAACCCCTGAAAATAATGATTACTTTCAGTTCTTAATATAGATAATAATAGCTGTTTTAAATCACTGAAGGTCACTTTATGCAGAATCATTTAATTTGTAAATTAATTCGCAGAAATAATAGTTTAAATAAATCCTATTGAAAAATAGTAATACTTTGATCTTTCACTGTTAAGTATATCATGACTAATTACTTACTGTATTAAATCAGTATTATCTTCAATATCATCACACAATAACATCCAAACATAACTAAGGAATTCTTTTGTTTACCATGAAGTATCATAAAAATTTCACTATATTTCACTTACATAATTCACTTGTGTCAAGTGTTATTAACTCTACATCTATTCCTGCTTAATAAATACAAAAATAACAGTTATCTTACCCATAGGAGTAGGGGACAGATTTTTTTCTGGGGGGCAAGGAAGCTTTGCTCGAAAAAAAAAAATAGTTTGAACCAAAAATGGTTTTTCAGGTCACATTTTATTTTATATGTTGTAGATACGCAGTACATAGTTGTACAGTGAGCGTCAGAGAGGAGAACAATATATAGTAGTGACTTGCAATGAACCAAAGTAACAGAATGTCGAGTACTGGAAGTGCTCCCTCAGTGTCTACAGTGTACAGTAGCTACAATGAATAATACTAGTATTTAATCGTAATGTGCAGTACTGTGCAACACAGATCGTTTGCAAATGCAGAAGTGAACTAGCGAACAAGCTTGTACAATGGCAGCACATAATGTACAAAGAGTGTCATGACGCAAGAGTTTGATTAAATAGGCTGAGAGATAATCAGGCAATCATAGACATCCCATGCAGTCATATGATAGTAGTGGCCAATTGTAGATCCAGAACACTTTGAGTATACCACCCACGTACCCGGCATGCAACCCTGTGTCGAAAATATGAAGCTATCTCTCTGAAATTTATTCGAATGCCCTGAACCGAGTGATTTTCTTGGATCTTTCTGGAAATGTGCATAATGCAGTCCTAGGAAATTTGTCTGGATACCCGAAATGGAGAGATTTTTCTCTGAATATTAAATTAAATGTTCAGGCTATTAGGGAGTTTCAGGGATCGAAGATTCCAGCTATGGAGAGATTACTAAATATACTTACTCATAGTATTACATTCTTTATTTATTGAAGTGAAAACATAATTTGATTAACTAACAACTGTACCTGTATTATTTCAGTAATGCATTGTTAAGTCTGATGCTTTAGATCATAACAAGAGATAAAATATATATGCAGAGTTGGTCACTCACCATTTTTCATAAACTCTTTGGACAATATTAACGTGGATTTTTATTTTTTTCCAGGCACGAGTATTTTAGTGAAATGTAAGTCTACATGGTTTCGTATTGTGTTGATTGATACTGTTTTGTGTTACTTAAGTTAGTTTTTCAAATTTGAAAATATCTTATTAATATGAATGAAGAATAACAAAAAGAAGCAGTTTAAAAGTCTTAAGAGTTTTTTTGCTCTTTAAGGCAACTAAAATTAAGATGGGTTGCGTTTCTAATGTACACTCACCAAAAACTTCTCGAACGCTATAAGCACTATGCAATCTGAAAAATGAACGAGAATCTGAAACCATTCCGAGATGACAAGCCACATTCTGCTCATTTTCACACCCATCGTGCCCAGGTGTTTGAGAAGTTTTTGTTGAGAGTGTGCGTTTATCCTTTTGATGACCTTAGCCATTCTTTTATTAACCTTGTAAATATTGCTTTTTCCAATTTTTAATAACCAACTATTATTCAGTCCATATATTTTCTTGCATTACGTCACTGAGTCAGATATGCATTCCTTTCTATCTCAGCCTGGAGGTAGACGAAGAGAAGGAAACAGAGCTGGCCCAGGCCATGCGGAGTGGAAACGTTACATCAGAAATGGAGCCCATTGTGTTAGCAGAATTGCTTCACTTGGTAACTGTCAAAGCCCCAGAAAGTAAGAATACTATTGCTTTTTTCAACTGGACCTTTATTCACATGTGAAATCTTGTTCCTTAATGTATATCTGAAAGATTCCTGTGTATTCGGTAGTCACAGAAAATATTGATACAACAATGACTGATTGTTTGGTATTTTTGAATTACTGTACTTATATCTGCACAGTCTTTGCCTTTCTGTATTTTGATTTAAATGTTTTAACTCTATCTTCAAATACAGTATTCACTAAACGAATGTGAAATTAAAATAAGATTTAAAGTATGACACATAGCTTTTTAACCTTAACCCTCTGAGCACCGCCTATTTGAATTTCCTCCCCCAAAGTGAAAGTACTATTTTCACCATTTTTTTTTACTATTTTCCAAGTGGCTGCGATGATGAAGTTTTTATATATGCCATTGAGATTATCTGGAAATAATAAATAAGCTAAACAAAAATTAACTGGAAAACCTTGATTTTTTTTAAAGGAAAAGCTGGTCAAAATGATAACTAAAGTAAGACAAATCACAAATATATTTCATGTAAGTTTAATATAATTACAACTGCTTATAAATGAAATACAGACCTGTACAGTTGATGCATCATGCAGTTATACGCTTGATTGATTGATCAGTTTTATGACGTTAAGAATTTAACACTAAATAGCGTTATGCAATAGCTAAGATCAGATTTATGATGGTCGCTACCCAATGGATACCCATATACTTTTCCTGCATTGTCACTGCTATGAAAAAGTGATGTGCAATAATTCGCAATTTTCTGAGATATGATGAAGCAATCTTGGAATAACGTAACACGTGTGACCCACGTGGGCTGCGTGGTAGGCTCTGCCAGAATCCAGGAAAAAAGTCACAGAAAAAAGGCATGGAAAAAACCTAACCTAACCTAACCCAACCCAACCTAACCTAACCTAACCTAACCTAACCTAACTTAACCTAACCTAACTTAAACCTGACCTACGTGCATCATATATAAATTGTGTTGTCAATATGCAAAAGTCATGTATTTTCAGTTAATAACTGTTTTAAAATATTTTTAGTTTTAGTACCTTAATTTAAATAAAATTTGACTTTTTTTCCTGGCCAAAATTGTTACTTTTTTCCTGTGATTTTTTTCCAGTGCCTTTTTTTCCATCCACCCTCTGCCCATCCCCGTTGAGTGCTAGGCTGAGCGGCTGAACTGTCACATTGCCCTGAGGATGATTTGCGTGTGAAGAAGTTATTCTTTGTACTTAAAATAACATATTGTACCAGTAAATGTGAGGAATAAATAAGTATAATACTAACAAATACAAAAATAAACAAATATTGCATTGCCGTTTGTCAATCGTGTTACGACTCACAGGAAACAGTAGTAGATGAGTGGAACAAGTTACCGAACTCTATGTTTAACTCGAGCACGCTGGGTAGCTTCAAATAAATATAGGTTGGGCGGATATACAAGCGATAGGGGATGGGTGCAAATGGGGTTGCCTAGTATGGGCCAATTGGCTCGCTGCAGTTTCCTCCATTCTTATGTTCTTCTTATGTTCTTCATACAGAGAACAGCTAAAAACCCCCACTCGGCTCCTCCCATCCTCAGCTGTGGGTGTTAACTCCAGCTCATGTTTTTGATCTGACGATAATACAATAACTACTTTTTTTATACATTCTGTATGAAAGATCTTGTGTGCATGTAACGGAGTAAAAAAGACCCTAAGATATTTATGTACAGTATATCTACCCGAAATTACGAGTTGAAAAATAACCGCCTTGAAAGCTAACTCTGGCTCTTCAAGGTCTCAGGAACCCTACAGTATTTTCCCTATAGTTATTAATATCAATATACAATCGATCGCCTAGCGATGGTTTTCGAAGTCCCTAACCCCATCGTATAACAATGAACACCTGTACTGTATACAGGTAAAGTATATGATTTTTTTTATAATGTCTAAAAACTTTAAATTGATAAATTACAGCTCCAAAAATACAGATTATAGCTAGTAAGTTTAAAGACACCTAAATCAATGTAGGTTATTCACAAAATGTAGTAGCTATAAAAAAAATATGCTGACGCAAATATGGTAAAATAATAACTAAAATATTAATAATACTGAGATTCTACTGGAATTAACTGCACAGTATATTACTGTGCTGTCAACCATAACAACTGATGCACCTGTATATCATGTGCATCGTATCAGTAGGCTTACTGAGCACCGAGCCTTGGTAGCCAACGTGTTGTTGCTGATCACTACTGATATTTATGGACTATTAACCTATTGTTTGTTATAACAGATACACATCAGGGCCAGATCCAGGCTGCTGCAACCGATGCACTTGTATCTAAAAAAAAAATGTCATGTAAAGGTATCATTATGCATTGGTCAAATAATTAATTGACCTATCAGTAATGTGATCTTATTGTCAGCGTTGACCTGCATGGCCCCCCAGCTTCTTACTGTAGCTGTCACTTCCATACCTGAGCGATTGGTTTGACAAACCATCCCCAGGGATGGGATAATCGGAGCGGGGCCTAGGGGTAAGGTCACAGGTACATAAGAACATAAGAATGGAGGAAACTGCAGGGGGCCGATTGGTCCATACTAGGCAATCCCGTCTACACCCAACCCCTAACACTCATAATTATATCCGTCCAACCTATATTTGAAGCTACCCAGCGTGTTCGAGTTATTGATGAAGTTCGGGAACTTGTTCCACTCATCCACTACTCTGTTTCCAAACCAGTGTTTACCTATCTCGCTTCTTTATTTAAATTTGTCTAATTTAAAGCCATTGCTACGAGTTCGCTCCTGGTTGGATAGTTTGAGTACCTTTGTTATATCACCTTTGTTTAACCCCGACTTCCATTTATACAACTCGATCATATCGCCCCTCACTCTCGTCTCTCGAGGGAGTGCAAATTAAGATGCTTTAATCTGTCTCTGTACTCAAGGTTTATACTGCCCGTGATTAGTCTTGTTCAATTCCGGCAGACGAGTCCACAGACAGCAGCAATAATTCTGGCAGACAAGTCCACAGGCAGCAGCGTTAATTTATGGCAAACGAGGCCACAGACAGCAGCAATAATTCTGGCAGACAAGCCCACAGACAGACGCAATAATTATGGCAGACGAGGCCACAGACAGCCGCAGTAATTAATGGCAGACGAGGCCACAGGCAACAGCAATAAGACACAGAGTTCTTGACTTGATGCCTGTAGATAACGATGAAGGGCTATTGCTTGTCGTTGGGTGGGAGGGCGGGGGTTAGAAGAAGCTAAATGTGGTGGAAATTTGAAGGAAAGTCGGAGAGTAATGGTATCCGGGCTCAACCAGATATGCTGTATTTTAAAGTTCTTTGTTGATCTTTTGTACTACTCATTTAAGTTTTAGCTCTCAGGCCTTTGAATTTTCTCTAGGTCATGTTTCGTCATTGCAGGAGCCAGTATTTCAAGGAAGAGGTGACCACCTCTGGCCAGGTTCTTTATGGAGCTGGCTAAGCATCGTATCTTTTGCTTTAATAAAGGTGGGAGGAGAAACAGCAGGAAGGGATTGGAGAGGCCAAAGATAGCGTCTATTAGTCACTCTTTTGTTTAAAATAGGAAAAGGTTTCTGCAAGGAAGTGGTGTAGGATCCAACTTGCTACTTTGGTTCGCAAGGTGGTCCTATTTTTTTTATTCTAATTTAAAAGGTTGATGTTTGTGTTGGCAGTGTTTTAATTTGCTATTCATTCTAGGCGCTTTTTTTGGTTTTATTTTGTTATTGTATTGCTTTGAGGTTGTTAGTTGTATCTTGGTGTTGGTGCTGGGTTGTTTAGTGTTGTTCTGCTCGATCTGAACCATGAATGTTCTCTCACTCTTCTTTTTATTTCATTATCGAGCCAGTGAGTTACAGCTTCTAACTCTTCTACTTGTCCCCACGTTCTTTTAGCTTTGTTGCATATGTCTACATTTACTGCCTCGATGTTGGCTTTCCTATGCAGTTCTTCGTTTGTTATTCTTTGTTCATATCTGATTTTGTGTTAGCTCCTGTCTCATTGACAGTAGTATTATCTAAATGTGGGTTAATTACATTAGTCTTATATAACTATCATCTCTGTAATCTTCCATAGCTGTGAGGGTTCATGTTCAGAGCACGTGATAGGGTGTTTCCACAGGAAATCGCGCCACTAAGTGCTAAGGTAAGGCATAAGTAACCGGCTCCCTGGCCACCTGTTGAGGGCAGTATGTACTCATCACTTTAGAGCCATCCCTGATGAGCTCCATCTTCCTCGAAGAGTAGTTACTCAATTATTACGAGAGGAGGACGTCTGATATCCTTCGTCCTTCCTCGAGCAGTATCTACTCAATACTCACTATAGTTGGACGTCCTTAGAGCTTATCCCTGATAGCTCCGTCCTTCCTATAACCCTCACAGTTACAGTGACTATTACGGTGATAATCCCTTGAACAGTGTACATAGAAATTTTTTATAATAAACTAAGAAAATGAACATATTGGGTTTCGCTACTAAAACCTAATAAAATTTTATCTAAATTTTAGTTCGTCTAGAATATGAGGTACCAGCTTCATGAGTGACTGTTACAAGTGGTGACCACCCAGCAAGGTTGTTACATATATGACAGCTTCACAAGAAGTTGTTATTCAACGGTAACAGTCACCTAGCAGTTACACAGTTGGTAAATGGTAGACATAATTTGTTCTCCCCATTACTGTGTTACGCTGTTATTAAGAAGTTATGGTTACAATGTCGTAGACATTTATTTTGTATTGTTTGTAGTTTCTTGATTCTTATGTCACTGAATGGGGTGCTGGTGGTAGAGTGGTACCGCTCTTGCCTTCGCAAGCGAGATGTCACGGGTTCGATTCCCGGGCCGGTGGAAGTTGTTTGGACATACTTCCTAGCCCCCATTAGTCCCTGTTCACCTAGCAGTAAAGTAGGTACCTGGTGTAAATCGAAAGTTGCGAATTCGTATTCAGGGACAAGTTGTTGGAGCTTCCAATAACTTGATGACATAAACCATTGACTCTTCAGGCTTCTACTCCCTTAACTCATGAGACATAAAGGCAAGCATGAACTTAGCATGCTTCCCTGTTGGGCACTGTAAACGCTTCTGTGCTTCACCTTGCACAAGGCTGTAGGGGAGTGCCCAATAAAAAAAAAAAAAAAAAAAGACACTGAATGCGTTGATTGGTACAGGCGGGTAGCTTATTATTGATTTTATTCGTTTGTTTTGTGTATTCAGGGTTTAGAATCTCCTAATTTATAAAAAATGCCGAGTAGTTTGTTGTCCTTTTCTTCAATGAAGTTTTGGTATCCGGTTTTCGTGATCTTGAGTCCTAGTATGGTGCCTTCATTGGCATGTGGGTATATTTCTTCATCCCCGATGACTGGTCAGACCTTTTGTTTGGCAATTGGTATGATTTTAAAATGTTTAATATTTGTTTTAATATTCCATTTTCGTTCATAATCATTAATGTTCTTTATTGCATGCGCTGAGTGGAATGCCACTATTGCCTCTGACTCCCAGGGTATGATATGATTTGTGTGATGTGATCTACGAAGATGATATGTTCGCTATGTTGTGTTGGTTCTGGTAGGCTGCTTGTATATATGGTGAATAATGTTGGGAACAGGACGGTCCCCTGGGGCACTCCACTTTCGAGGTCTATGATTGGGCCTAGATACGTACCAATTTGCAGCTGAGCTCCTCTGTTTCGGAGGTAGTCACACAGGATTCTCTCACTGTCTGCGGGTAGTTGTAGTTGTAAGATTTTGTACTTTAGGCCTGTGTGCCACACCTTATCAAAGGTTTTTCCACGCCTCTCAGGACAAAGTTTACGTGGTTCCCATGTTTTTCTTTGGTAATGATTTCTGTTATTATAACTATTGTAGTTTGGGTTCCTCTCCCTCTCCTGAAGCCATGTTGTCTTGGGTTGTGTTTATTATTTATATCCAGGAATTTTTGTAACCTGTTGTTTGTTATGCACTCAAAGAATTTGTATCTTGTGTGTGTCCATGTGTTTGTATGTGTCAGTGTCTGTTTGTATACATACTATAAAAAGCTATGTTGTATAAACAGTTTGTGTAAATCAGTAAAACTATAGGAATATACAGTTTTACTTTGTTCTATTTTATGATAAAATATAGGCTGAACTATCTGGCTAAACATACATTTATCCAAGTACTGTAAATATAAGTAAATTATTGATTAAAATTACGGCGTTGTGGAATGAGATGTAAAATCCCATAGATTTCTTAAAGTCTGAGCTAGCCGCAACTACAAAAACTGAAAGATTGTATCGGTAAAATTTGAGGTCTGGATCTGGCCCTGTATATGACTATCATATATTCACCCATGAATCATTTCAACCTGTTTCCAGTACACAGATTAGCTGAAATGTGTGGGTACTGGTGATCAGCTGATGAGCTGTCCAGGCATCAAGAAACTGTGGTGCATAAACACCTATTCATTTCTCCTATATTATAATTAAATAATTCATTTATGCATATATCACAGTATTCTCCATCTATTCTCGACTCACTAATAATGTTGTCTTAGCAAGTAAACTGAGAAGTCTGATAATGTCAGCAGGAATCAGCTGACACAAGCCAGAGTGATGTCAAAGCTTGTTTTGGTCTCTGATCCCACATTGTCTACCAGCAAATCACTCAAAGCCGAGTGTGCAGTTCAAAACACTTCGATGATAATCGAATTAAGTCTTAATGGCATAAAGGTTTTCTCTGGGCATGGATAAAAGTCGATTTAAGTCCCAATACCAAAAGCCATTAGATGTAACTTTTGTCGAGGTAAGTGCTCAGAGGGTTAAGTCTGTCAAAGGTATGACATGATTTCATTTTTTCACTTGTCTGGTATTCTTGCCTCTTCATAATTTGAATGAAATGACCATGATGTAATCTCATATTTGCATCCATGTACAGTACTCGTATGTGTGGCGCTGGTTGAGAAGTACATTTACTTTGTATGCAAACTAAATCATTGTATTTGAACTGATTGCGATATATATATATATATATATATATATATATATATATATATATATATATATATATATATATATATATATATATATATATATATATATATATATATATATATATAAAGGTATCCCCAGATTTATGGAACAGTTTGGTTCGAAAAAATCTTGGCATAAATCCAAATTACATAAAGTGTGTGTGTGCATGAGAGGTATGCGTGTACTGAAGGTTGGGTGTTGAAGGGAGGGAGGAGTAAAATCTTATCTATGATGTAACAAAGTATCAGTATTGTACATACAGTATGTACAAAAATAATTCAGTCGATTTTATTAAATATATGCATTTACTAAAAAATATAAAATCTTCTTATCAGTGGAAGATTCAGAGAGGAAATGTGTGAGTGAGAGATAAAGATGAAAACCCTGCATGTTGAGTGTTGAAGGGAGGGAGGTGACTAGCTTCATTTATGTATATTTTTATTTTTTTCTAAATTATATTAAAAAAATCCTTTATACTTAACCATTTCTAGTTCAGTGTATGGTGAATTTCCGTAAAACAAATTTCCATACATCGGAGGATGAGTGGGTCGGCTATTCAGCGAGTGGATTTCTCCCCTACAAGTGTACCTGTTATTTTGGTACAATTTGTACCTCAGCTATGCCTGGTCTTGTGGGTGTGAAAATGTAACCTCAATAATATTTTTATTTGTCAAGTAAAATTATGCTATAACTCATTAACTTATTACAGAATACTTGAACATGTCCTTACTTGAGATTCTGAATGATGAGGCAACGTGGCAAGATGATAAGATGTTGGCAGAATTCCAGGACAGGGTTGTGACAGGCAACCACACGGCTCTATGTTACATTCGACAGAAAAACGGATCGATTGCGGTAATTTGTTGCACTTTAGAATAAAATAATATGTTACGTAAATTTTCAGTTGGTTACCATAAAGTACTTATGATAATGTCTTAAATTTTTTTCAGATTAGCTTACCGAGGGTAGTCTTAAATTTTTTGGTGGTGATTGAAAAGTCAAATTTTTGCAGTGGTTATAAGCATTGTTTTTAAATCTTCAGATTAAATTATAGTTTTCAACTGGAGTGTTTCCAAGGATGATTGAGTGTAATTGTTATCAAGTACTGTAGCTTCCCTACATTTTCTCTTTCATAAAGGTTTAGCTTAGTTTCCTTAGAATATTACTAGTTTTGCTTTCTTTTGGTTCATTATTTCCAGCATAACGTGGTTGTCAACCCTAAGACATAAGCATGGATGGCAATTTTTATTGACTGATTGATTTATTCCTTGGTATATAGACACAAACTTAAGATTTATTATTCATCAAACAACAAACATGTGACTTGTGTCATACTCTGTGTCTCCACCAGAACGTCTTGATGTCTTACCCAGACTTTACACCACTTGAGCCCACTGTTGAAGTGTGTGATGCTGACCAGCAAGGTGGGTGTTCCACAGTCTTTTAACTATATTATCTTGTTCCTTAAATATATATATATATATATATATATATATATATATATATATATATATATATATATATATATATATATATGCAAGTAAATCACTGTGGGTGCGCGTGATCCAAGTATATGCTGATAACACATTATATATATATATATATATATATATATATATATATATATATATATATATATATATATATATAATGCTGATAACCACAAGGAAAGAAGACCCACAAGCCTAATAACCCAACATGACCCATCATTAGCTCAGTTGGGTCAATCTCTTATAAATTATCTAAATGGTTAGTTTCTTTACTAAATCCCCTCGTTGGCAACATTTCTAACTCTCATATCAAGAACGACATGGATTTGGTTGATAAACTCAATAACTTACATATTAATTATGATTTTAAACTGGTCAGTTTTGATGTAACATCACTCTTTACAAAGGTCCCAGTTGATGATTTACTAGAGTTCCTCATAGGTTCCCTACATAATATTTCACTGCCCGTCTCGAAAGACGACTTCATCGAACTCGTCAAACTATGTATTAAGGATTGTAAATTTGAATTCAATGGAGAATATTATGCTCAAAAATTTGGTATGGCAATGGGTAATCCACTCTTACCTGTATTAAGCAACCTATATATGGAATTCTTTGAAAAGAAACTATTAAGTAATATTTTACCACCTTCAGCAGTCTGGTTTAGATATGTAGATGATGTATTATGTCTCTGGCCAAGTAATGAGGACCTTTCCTGCCACAACTTAACAACTTAGCCCCCTCGATCAAATTCACTGTGGAATTAGAGCATGACTGTAAATTGCCATTCCTAGACTGTCTGATACACAGAATAGGTAACACTTTTAAGTTCAGTATTTATAGAAAACCTACTAACGTGTGTTCATACATTCATTATTATTCTGCCCACCACAATAGAGTCAAACAGTCAGCATTTTCAACAATGTTTTTACGTACTTTGAGAATTTGCAGCCCGGAATTCATTGATGAGGAATATAAATATATCTATAATATTGGCTCAAACCTTAAATACCATAGATCTTTCATAGACAAATGCCTGAACATTACTAAGAAATCTTTTTATAGAACTGATCCCAAGCTCACCCATGACCATAAGAATCTCATAGTATTACCATTTCACAAAAATTTCTCTCAAATTCCTTTACAACTAAAATCCTGGAACGTCATGTGGCATTTAAAAACTCATGCACTGTTAAACAAATGTTAATCAAGAACTCCCCCAACAACACAATTGGTTGCATTTATAAAGTTCCTTGCAAGGAATGTAATATGTTTTACTTAGGCCAGACAGGTAAAGATCTTGTAACTAGACTTAAACAACATAAATATAGTGTTAGGACAGGCCAGGAATCCAGTGCTCTGTTTGTTCATTTGAGGGATAACAAGCATTGCATTGACTGGGATAATGCCTCCTCAATATTACCTTGTAATTCAATTGACAGTAGGAACATCATAGAATCTAGTCTCATTAAACATACATAAGAACATAAGAAGGAGTCTGCAATAGGCCGGTTGGCCTGTGCATGGCAGCTCCTGTCGAGAGTTACTACCACTCTCTATCATCCATGAATCTATCTAGCCTCCTACCGAAGCATTCAACATGAATTTGAGTAATGGCATGTACATACTGGACAATTTTGTAATTAAGAAGATTTGTAACCAGGTGAGAAGGTTGGGTCACCTTACCCTCTGACCTGACTACCGACCGTTGCTGTGCTATTTAAAGATTAGTAGGGTCATTACCTAACACCTGACCATTGTGGACCTGATCTCACCCTCCTCTGTATATATACACCTTGTTTTGTACTTCTCCTTAGTCTGTACCCACCCCTGAAGATGTGAATTACACGAAAGCGCTTGGGAACTTCGTGTTTTCTACTTTCCTTGTGGTTATCAGCTTATACCTAGATCACGCGCACCTACAGTGATTTACTTGCATATATATATAATGTAGATTGTAGATCCACAATGGAAACGTGGACTGATAGATCTTGATAAAATCACACAGGAAAAGGGAAACACTGGAGCACCTTAGCTTTCATCTTTGTTCAAAACATCTTCAGAGGCAACTGAATTTACATTGGTATTTGAGTCATGAGTTATGAGGTGCAAGAAGATTATTTGGGATTAAAGAAAAATGATGAACTGTAGGAGTAGAACGAATCTGGGCTCAACCAGGTCGCTTTATCTTATCTTTTGGTTTTTTTATCTGTTTTACTCCTTCGGGTCGTCAGACCTTTGTATTAGTATTGGTTTATTGATATGGTGCTGCTTATTGTACTTCTTACTTCGTTTTTTACTGTGGTGGAGTTAGTGATCCCTCCCAGGTCCCAGGTCCTTGTGTGACTGGGAGGATAGTCACGTAATTTGTTATTTATTTTTTAAATTGCTAATGTGTTAGTTAAATTTTAGTTGTGTTAGTCCTCTCTGTCCACCATAGCGACCCCGGGTGACGTTCCTCTACATCCTTAATTTTCGCTGTATAGTTTGAATATCCAATCGGGAAGAATTACTGCGTAAAGGTTATTTATTTACATGGCAACTCATCTTGCATGTAATCTTGTTTCAACTCTAGTGGTCCAGTTAATAACTAACTATCAAGATGGATGCACGTCCTTCGACGTTTCGTGACCCGCCTCGCTCCCCCACACCCTTGACAGTAGTGCTACTCATCAAGAGTTGCTTGATTTGAGTAGAATTTATATACTGTATGGTGAGTTTCTTGAGGCAGTCAGCGGTGAGGGCAGTGATACAGACAATAGCCCTCACTCCCCTTCCTCACCCCGCCAGCAACCGCCTTAGCGAGGTCGTGGTCGGGGGCGCCGTGGTGGACATAGGGGACCATGTGCATTCCAGCCACAACAGTATGCTTGGAGTGACTGCACTAAGTTTATATCTGAATTACTATGTTTCAACTGCGGATTTAAAATAAAAATAAATGTTTTTTTGATGAAACATTCTGCATGGGGGTCCGGCGGGTCTTACGTTGCCTGGGGCACAAGGGTTAAAGACATATTTAATGGTTTTCTTACACGAGAAGTCACTGTCCTAAAGTTAAAGAGGCAGAAATTATTAGTATTGCGAAATGTTGTACAGTACGCTGTAATAACCTGCCAGAGAATGTTTTTACAACAAGAATTGTGAATTGTTGTAATTACCTGGATTAGCACAAACGCATCATTATTGTAGATCATGAGAAGTTTCCAAATGTTCGTATATTTGCTTAAATAAAGAAGAAAATATGATCTGAAAATCTTGTGGCAGCCCTCGTTGTAGTTGAATTGCAAATTCATTAATATATTGTTTTCATTATTTAAGCAAATATACGAATATTTGGAAACTTTTCATGATCTAAAATAATGATGAATAGTTTATTATTATAAAATGCTACATTTGGTTACTTTAATATTTACCATGACAGTGATACAGCCGAAAATAGATCCACCAATCACAATCACCATTACATACAGCCTTCCTTTACCAAGTATTGCCACGTAAAATTGCGAGTCCGAGACCCAAATTCGGGTCGCTGGATGTTTGACTGACTGTACACTCCCGTCTGGATTATTGTATACTGTGCAGGCATGGAAGCCCTACCTGTAGAAAGATATAACATCCCTAGAAAGGATGCAACACAGAGCGACCAAGATGATTCTGAAACAATAGGTTCTAGCCATAAAGCATATGGGCCTAGACATATATTATATTGGATAAGAGTAGCGAAACCCAATTGTAGTTTCTGCTTTTATTAAAAAAGTATTGTTTATATAATTCCTGAGTGTAGATCAACCGTAACTTCCACTATTGATGAGTGTGAAGGGAGAGGACGGCGGCTATGTTAATAGACCGTTTAATCACGTCCGTTCGATGTAAGATTAAAAGTGTGACTGCTATGAGTAGTGACCCATCGAAGGAGAACGGAATAGGCACGTCGTCCTACCTCGAGGGAAGACGGAGCCATCCACGACGGCTCTCAAATAACGTCTTCCTCTAGTCAAGGGTATCAATCTACTGCCCGCTTTAGGTGGCCAGAGAGCCGGCTACTTAATGCCTTAGCTCAGCATAATATGATGCAGCTTCCCGTGGGCACACCTTATCATGTGCACTGAACATGTCACCTCATAGCTAGTGGAAAGTTACAGGGGATGAATCAGTATATAAATAAAATGTAATTAACCCATTTATATAATTCTTCTGTTTATGAAACAAGGGCCATTACATATATCATCTCAATTATCAAAGCAGACTGAAGGCCTTAGGACTAACAACCCTTAAGTTCAGACAAGGCACAACAGGGCAGATCTCACAGAAACATCCAAAATCTTGAAAAGAATGAAAGACGTGAACAGGCAATATTTTGTAATGTCACCCTATTAACACGAGGGGACATAACTTCAAGTTCGCCATGTTATCATGAAGAACGAACTTAAGGAAATGCTTCTTCACACAAAGGGTGGTAGACCTATGGAACAGTCTACCAACTCAAGCTGAGGAATCGAGAACAGTATTGGGCTTCAAAATATCCCTAGGCAATATTATCAAGAACAATGGAGGGATCCTACATAGGCCACTAGCCTCCTTCCCTCGGCATGGCCACCTCTAGTGGGTGGCTATTAGGTATATACTCTAAGGTAAATAACGATGACACCTAACCCTTCCTTGCTGTGAGAGCCGGTCTCCTACAAACCACCACCTACATGCCATGCTAATTGTCTCTGATCCATAATCATGTTGAAATTACTGTTGTTCCAGCACTAGGTTCCTGGTTTAATTCCTGTATTTGCTGCAGGTTTCTATAATGTTTGATTCATGTAAATCAAATATATTCTCTTACAAGGATCTGCATGCCTTCACCACTAAATAAGGATAGGCCAAGCAATTGATTTACTGTAACACCTTGTGGTAGTCAAAATCATCATCATCACTGTTTTATGGCCATTTTTCGTACCTGAGTGGATTTACCATCACATATTCACTAATTATCTTGATTTAAAATAAGATGGCATTAGGCCTTGCAGTGAAGCTTATATTGGATACAATGCCCCCTGCAGTCTTATTATAAAGATATCTGCTTTATTGTTTAGAGAGTAGAATACTGTATGGATTTTCCAACCAAGTGTGTGTAGTGACCTCACAGGGCACCTTCACAAGGATGGATGGGTGGTGTAAATTTGAGAAGTGCTATCAGACAAACTCTAATGGCTGTTCACTTCAGAATCCCTCACAATATCTTGTTCTGTTAAATTTTCTTGAGGTCTTTGCCATAAACAGCATATTTTTCTGCAAATTCCTACTCATGACATTGGCATATACTCATTAGAGCAGTTGCCATAATGGGAAAACATTAACAAAATATCTTGTGGATTTAATCCACAATTGCCTCTATGAAGCACAGCTTTAGGGCTCATCTCTCTTTTGTCTAAGTTCTTTTGTAATGGATAAAACACATACTGTTCTGCTTATGGAACTGCTTTATTGCAAAATTATTTACTTCTAACAACATTTTTAGTCACCTGACTGCCAAGATACTGTACTAGGAATCATTGGTACCATCCCAAACTTTGCATTTTTTTTATTCTGTTGTAAAAAGATTTTTTAGATGAGGTGGTCAGTACTGTATCAGGCATAATGAAGGTCCTTGTTCCTAACTATACTTGGACAACTGTAAGGCATCCCCCTCTCGAGAGTCCTTGGTGAATCCTCTGGGTAATGTACAAGTACTGTATATATGACTGTCTTGTTTTCCGCAGTGCCAACTATTCCCATGTCGTCTGCCGAAAACCCTGGGTCAGCCACCTCTGTGTCGTCTGCTGGGGACCCAGGGTCAACTACCTCTGTGTCATCTGCTGGGGACCCAGGGTCAACTACCTCTGTGTCGTCTGCTGGGGACCCAGGGTCAACTACCTCTGTGTCATCTGCTGGGGACCCAGGGTCAACTACCTCTGTGTCGTCTGCTGGGGACCCAGGGTCAACCACCTCTGTGTCGCCCAGTGAAAACGCAGTTGCCAACACCATCCCACTGAAGCCACTTCCCTGCCCATTCATTGTTGCTTCTTGCAAAAATCGTCGCAAACCTTTTACCCAACTTGGTAACCGACCTCACTTCTACTAGTGCAGAATGCCACTTATAGTGTTACTTATGATCAGACATTAGAAACTTGAGCTTTACAGTGATAAAGCACTGGTAGTGGTTTTAGTAAAGCTATACTCTTTATTGTTTTGAGTGAAGCTCTTAATGATAAACCACACACACAAAAATAGTGTGAGTGATTTGTTTAATTTTTTACTATTTGATTACAAAATTATTGAATCAATTCACAATATGTACAATTTATCTTACGTAACCGAATTATGAATATTTCACATGCATGCATCAGGCACAGAGGATAACTTTGGTAGCGTGTCAAATCTTCTTTACAAGTTTTCACAAATTCCTTTAAGCAATAAAAAATGCAACCTATTATTGTTTTTAATATACAATTTCATTGTAAAAAATACCCCTGGACATGCCTCTGTTTCAGTCTTCATACCATCAGTTCGATGGTTGAAGGTGTAGACAAACTTTGGAAAGACTATTTTACTCGTGTGATACATAAAGTTATATTATTTTATAGTACTTTCTTCCTTAGTTGTACACACACAAGTTCAGTAATATTTTTTTTCCTCATATTGTCAATTTTAGTGTGAGAGTAGTGACTTTCTTGCCAGTGTGATAACCAAACTAACAGTGTGTGGAGGACAGACAAAATCCTTTTATTTCCTGCTAGACGAAGGTCATGAATAGACTGCAGCGTGTGGATTTATTTTTATCATATCAAAATTATTTCTAAGCTTACACAGTGTTTGGTCAGTCATTTGAAGTACATTACTGGTTTAAAAATTTGTGACACAGACTGAAATTGTATTCACTATAAAGGAGGCTTACCTCCACCTCAACCCCAATCCTGCCTGAAATTAACCTTTTTTTCCTTCCAGTGATTATTAGGTACTTAGCTGAAATTCTTAGCAGGATGGGGTTATGAATCTGTTATATCTAGTTCATGTTGAGGCTCTACCAGTGTTGAGTGTAGTTGCTCTGAAGATTGTTGTGGTAGCATATATCAAAAACATTGAGTTGTCGTCTTCTCCAAAATAGGTCTGCCCTTCACGGTGGTGTAAGTAGCTTTATCTCTTACGGCGAGCAATCTTGCTCTCCCTTCCGACTCAAGCAAACAGCTCTCACTGTCGAAAAGTCCGCCAACTAAAAGTAACATCACATTTGACACATGTTGTCATTCAACTTACAAGTTTATATTTTACATTGACAGACTCAGTGCTATTTTATAACACTAATATTTTTAATGTAATTCTATTACAATATTAATTTACTTATTACAAATTAATACACGAGGATTAGAAGTAATTTACAAGTGCTATTTAACTCGCTTCAATCCGGCGAACAAATCGATTATCCACATTCCGTACATCAGACAGATAATTAATCGATAGCAGTCATAATTTATCTTCATTATTTATACATTTATATAAGTGAATCATGGAGTTATAAAATACAAAGAGAAGCCAATGTCTTACCCCTGACAGCGAGTACAGTCAATAAGGAATTGTTACCAAGTATCAGTCCACACACGCGAACGTTTTCGAGCATTAGAGAGCTCCTGTTGGTATATTGTCAATTAAAATATTGATATGTCACGGATTCTAGTGAAATTACTAAATAATTTCCACAACTGGCCTATTGGAACTTACCTTAGAATAAAAAAACTGTAGATTTAGCTAGCTTTATATTTTGTATTTACAGATGTATGGATGACATGCATGCAGACAAGACTAGAGAACTAGATGCAATTAATCTAGCAAGGATTCTTATGAATGGAAGGAGTGGTGATCTACAGTTTTAGTTGAAGGTGAAAAAATTCTTGTACATGTCAATGTAGGATAAATCAACACAAGTGGTGTTCAAAAGCAAAAAGTAATTATTTTTTCTAAAATTGTTAAAGGTCTTGTTCAACACCACACGGCAAATACTCCACTGTAGTATTAAAAAAAATGGTAGGTTATGTTAGTGGCATTGATCTAATGGCTTGCTTATTACCCACACAACCATCCACAGCTACTAACCTCTCACTACAAGATTTTCACAACTCACTAGCCTAGTAACGCATTGGTCACAGTTTCAAATTTCCATTTAGTAGACAATGCGTGATTGATATTTTGTGTTTGCTATTACCAGGGGAAGGTATAACTATCCTATCTCACATTGGTATAGATGTGTTGTGATTGAAGGGGGGAGGGGGATGATTACTGAAACTTGATGAAATGTGCTTCTAAACATAATCACAGCAAAATTTATCTTTTCATCAATTTAGAAAGTTTAATTCTTTTTGAAAAATTTATTGTTTATTACCTTATAATCTGAAGTCTTCTTCAATGTTCACAAGCGAGGATGTGAACAACCTCCTTGCGTTTTAGAAAAGAAGGTTTGATATAGCGCTGACGCAAATTGAGTTTTCAGAAGATTGTAATTGAAATTTTTTTTCAAAGTTAAATGTTGATAAAAGACCTGGACCTGACAGTGTGCTTCCCAGAGTGTTAAGAGAGATGTCCAACGATCTTGCTGATCCCCTAAGATCCTGTTCTCCAGATGCCTGGATGAGCTAAAGGCACCAAGTGACTGTAAAATGGCATATGTGAGTTCTATATTCAAACAGGGTGATCGCCATTACACGAATAATTATAGGCCATTTAGTTTGACTAGCATTTTGTGCAAAGTACTAGAGAGCATTGTAAGGGATGCTATAATGAACCAGTTATTATGAAAAAAAACCTTGTAAATGAGTGCCAACATGGTTTTAAGCTTAGATGCTCCTGCCTGATGCAATTGCGTAAGGTGCTGAATGTGTGGACTCAGATCATGGAGTGTGGTGGCAGCATCGGTAATATATATTGAGGTTTTACTTAGGCTTTTGATAGCTTACTCCATGAAAGACTGAAATTGAAACTGGAAAGGTATGGAATTTGGAGGAGCGTCCTATCGTGGATCGGAGACTTTCTTCATGACCGCAATTAGTGTGTGGTGATTAATGGCACAAAATCGTCATATGTACCCGTGAAAAGTGGGGTACCACACTACCACAGGGCAGTGTACTGAGACTGTTGTTGTTTGTTTGTTTCATAAATGATGTCAGAAGCTATACACTCTTCCATACAATTGATTGTGGATGATACGAAGTTATTCAGGGAAATTAGGAATCAAATGGATTGTGAAATGCTACAAAAAGATCGATAGCAGTTCAAGGAGTGGTCATAGGTTTGGTTGTCAAGATTCAGCATCGTACCAACAGAAAGGAGGCGAATTACATGTACCAATGAGATGTGGAACATCATTAACTGAGACCAACAGTAAAGAGGACCTGGATGTGTATGTCGACAATGAACTGAATTTTTTGGACCATTGTGAGAAGGTGAATCAAGCAACTAAAGCTACGGTCACACCAGAGTTTTCCGTGTAATAAATCCACGATAGCATTTCATCCACTGACACTAAGTCAATGGTGCGATCCGTACATTGGTCACACTGGCGAAAGGAACCATTGGCACGGGTAGTTTGAGCTCAGTTGGAGAACAGGATAGTTTTATTGTATGTTTCTATGGCAGCATTAACCATTTTAGTGTGATGTGTTAAAGCAGACCAAGACGAAAAAAAAACGATTGTGGGTAGCAATATCCATCACGTCCAAGTAATGTTTGTTGACAAAAGTGACGCAAGTACTCTATAGTCAAATGAAATTCCCATCGTGATGTATTCTCTGTCTTCTTAATTTTTATTTACTATGACATTTTTGCTCGTGTTTTTTTTATATTTTTTTGTACATCTTAAAATTAATAGACTGTCTATAGCAAATTTCAACCCACCATACCGTGGATTTTCAGACGCTCTGACGAGTCCCACTTTCGACAAGCAACTTGAGAAGATCGTTGAAAAATCAAGGTTAGGGTGAATTTATTTTGGGTAGAAACTCTAGTGTGACCGCAGCTTAAACTAGTAGATAGCGAGGCCCTTTTAATGCTCCTCAAAAGCAAGGTGCTTTCCCGTTTAGAGTACAGGTATACCCAGTAAACCGACGTCCCAAAAACGACTGATTCGCATAACTAACAATTACAGAACATATACGTAGGGTAAATACCCTGCAAGTTTCGTTGATACCCCAAAGATCCAATGATCGAAAGAGGAGCAGCAGAGCTGTTTTGAATTTGGCCGGTGGTGGTGTGGTGCGAATTCTTGCCACGAGGGGGCCTGCACGGTGTCTTTGACTCATTCCTGCCTCTCTTCACTTGTTTACACTTACCATGTGTCTCAGACTTCGTGTTTTTTCGTTATAGTTCCTCTTGTGCTACCCCTCTTTATGGTAGCTTGATGGGATGTGATGAGGCATACTAAGGCGTAATAATAGTGGTGATGGACCAGCAAAGATTGGTGAAGGCTTGAACTTGCCACCCAAGACCGCCCTTACCATCCTCAACACAGGTAAATAACAGTCTCAATTTATGCTTTACATTCCTTATTTAATGTTCATTATGCTGCTTTATTTTCTTGGTTGACACTGGAACACCGTCAATACTTACTAAAGTGGCAGCACGCGACGATTATGCAGAAAGGGTTAGATAAAGGGATAAGAAAGGCCATAGAAACAGCGTATATTTGTAGAAATCAATAACAAACCATAAGATTTTTTTTTTAGCTTAACCATAGGAAGGGTTTTATGTGCTAGTCGAAGCAAGATCCGGACCTAGCATTGACGTCACGCAGTAAGGTAGTCAGGTGAGGTGAGGTGAGGTGCCCCGGGGTACACAAGTCTCTGACTTCCTCCACTTAACATAAGAACATAAGAATGGAGGAAACTGCAGCGGGCCTATTGGCCCATACTGGGCAGACCCATTTACACCCAACCCCTAACGCTCATATATCCATGCAAACTATGTTTGAAGCTATCCAGCGTATTCGAGTTAATGATGACATTTGGTAACTTGTTCCACTCGTCCACTACTCTATTTCCAAACCAATGTTTACCTATTTCGCGCCTAAATCTAAGTTTGTCTAATTTAAAACCATTGTTACGCGTTCGCTCGTGGTTGGATAGTTTGAGTACCTTTGTAATGTCCCCTTTGTTCAGCCCTGCCTTCCATTTATATACCTCTATCATATCGCCTCTCACTCTACGTCTCTCGAAGGAGTGCAAATTAAGATGCTTTAACCTGTCTCTGTACTCAAGGTTCCTAATGCCCGGGATTAGCCTTGTAATTTTCCTCTGAATTCTTTCCAAGGATTCTATATCCATTCTGTAATACGGTGACTAGAATTGAACTATGTAATCCAAGTGAGGTCTCACAAGTGCAAGATATAGTTTTAGGATGACCTCGCTAGTCTTGTAACTAACATTCCTTTGTATGAGCCCGAGTATTT